CCTCCTCTCCTATCATTCGCTCAAGCAATTGTGCATACATTTTGGTTATGTATTTATGGTCCTCTCCCAATAATATTTTATCAAAACTCTGTTCCATCACATATATTCCATAATTACCTCTATCTCTCCTATAACGAGATTGAACTGTAGCATAGGTCCACCAATCTAGCCTAATTCCTTTATCAACTAAATCTTCCCTAGTCCTTAATATCCCTTGGGCATCCACAAGATCTTTATATCTAAGAATATTATCCTGTTTAATATTATCCTGTTTAATATTATCCTGTTTAAAGTTGTTGGGTATGTCATCACTTCTCTTGCTGAGAACCAGGTTGGGGTCTTGGTATAAAATTTTCCTCTAATTATGTCCCAGGTTTCCAGCAATATTCGCCTTAGATAATGTCTCTTGAAATACTTACAGTATACTGTTCAACTTTCTCTCTCCATAGCAGTGCATGCCAGCCGTGTTGTAGGTCGTGTCCTTCTAAATCTAATAAAGACCTCCTCTTCAATATTCAAAAGATGCAGAAGGATATACAGTATTAGAATCTAGATTGGATGTTCAAATTGTAAATAAAATTAAATATCTAGGAATTTGGCTAACAGCCCGATGTTCTACAATTAAGGAAGACAATTTTGTTAAATTATATGATCAGACTGTAAGAGACCTGGAGAAGTGGAAAAATTTACAGTTGTCTTTGATGGGACGGATAGCAGCAATTAAGACACATTTTGCCCAAATGGCTATTTTTATTTCAATCAGCTCCGGCGAGGCTAGATAAAAGGTTTTTTAAAGGTCTGGATCAAGTCATGCTGAAATTTACTTGGCAGGGGAAGAGGCCTAGGGTGAAGCTCAAAATGTTATAAGAGCATAGAGAGAGGAGGGGCTTCGGTCTCCCCTGCTGGGAATTATATTATCGAGCTTCACTGCTAGCTGGATGAAGGGCTGCTGGCCTCTTGTATTCATTCTTCTACCTTACTAAATTAGGATGCTCCCTGCAATATCACTAAGTTCATTCATTAGTATTTCTGGGCAGCTGTAGATATTTTTAACATGTACTAATATGTTACTTCTTTCCCCTTAATAAATTTCATAATTATTATATTTCAGTTATGGAAATCAGACCATGAGGTGTCTGTTATACCTTTTTTCTGTGTCTGTATGCCTTCAAAACATTGCTGACTGCCCTAGACAAATCCCTGCATTTTTTCTTGGGAAGATTCCAGAAGTGATAGGCCATTGTCTCCTTCCTAGGCCTGAGAGACTGGCTCAAGGTTAGAAAAATGGATGAGAAGGCCATGTTAGTCTTCAGGTTCTTGAACTTCCTAGCTATAAAAAAATCTGTTTGCAGATATTATTTGTGCATGATTAGTTCCCACACATATTGTGTTTTTTTTTTCTTCCATTAAATCAGGTCCAGTTTGTGAACACTGCCTAAATCACTCCCTGAAGTTTTCTTGGCAAGCTTTTTCAATGGTTTGCCATTTCCTCCTTCCGTGGGAAAATGACTAGCTCAAGGTCACCCAGATGGCTTTGTGCCTAAAGCGGGACTAGGACTATTCTAGCCTGAGAGCGACTTAACCACTACACCACCCTGGTTCTATAAATTGTTTATTATGTTTATAATAACCCACATCACAACCCATGTTTCTAAATGGCTTACAAGCAGAAAACTGAAAAGTCCATAAAATTCAATAAAGCAACCTACTTAAAACACAAAATCTAATCCCAGTTAAAAAAAGTACTATCCCATTGACACCCACTGAAATTCATGCTGAATAAACTTTAGCAACCTTGTATTTATTGTTTCTTTATTTGACATTGTTATTAATCCTTTTTCAAACAGACAGGCCGACAGACATATAATAAAATGAACAATTCACCACTTGCATAAATAAAAAGGGAAAAGATACATTTACAGACCCAGTAAACTTATAAAAAAGAGCAAGTGTCTTTTTTTTTAACCTTTAAAGGCCTAAATATCTTTACTTCTCCAGGTTACTTGAAGGAGCATCTTCTCTTTTATGTACATCCCCAGATTTTAAGAGAATTTGTCTAACAAGGCTCTCTTCCAGCCCCTACCATCCAAAAAGAAGAGGTGGGGATTTACAAAAGAGAGAGCTTTTTCTGTGGTGGTGCCCTAATTCTGGAATGACTTTCCAAGGAAATGTTAAATGGTGCCCACCATGGCATCATTTTGGTGCCAGGTGAAAACTTTTTTCCAGGCTTTTGCATTTGCTTAATTGTAATTGCATTTTAAGTTATATTGCTTTATATATTGAATGGCTGCCTTGTTGCTGTCTAGTTTATAGGGGGTTTTCATTTTGCACTTTCTTTTATTTTTATTTTATACACATTTTATTGCAAACTATGCAGAGAGTTAATCTATTACATATTTCAAAATGTTAAAGAAAGAAAGAAAGGCATAACCTATATCTTACTTTTTCAGCCACCTATGAATCTTTGCAAGAAAAAAAAATTGAGTTAAAAAATAGACCCAGCTCAGAAAATGCAAGGTCTTGGATCAAATTCCAATAGGCATGCATGTTGAGCTACCAGCAAAAGGTGTTACTTGAGTAGGCTAATCTGTTGTATAATACAGAACTGATGTTCCTTTTCTAATTTAGACACACTCTCCTGCCATCACAAGTGTACAAAATCAGGAAAATACACCCGCAATTTTAGCTTTTATGTAAATAGGAAAAATGCCTGTGGCAATTCCTGAATTTTAGTGTGTCTGGACATAATCTTTTGTCTGCATGAATCCCTATTTCCTTCTTCAGGAATAGTGGCAATGGGAAGAGAAAAAATTCCTTATATTATCCAAGCCAGCTAAAGAGGATCTGGGTTTGTATTACGTTCTTTGGCTTGTGTGCAAGGCAGAAAGAAAGATACTTTTTAGATCTTTCTTGCACTTCACTGCTATTATACACACATGCAACTTGAACTGCGGACTTGCTTTGCATTATTTTATTTATCATGATTGCTTATTTGAAAAATGTATAAAGCAGGTAAGTGAGGCATGCAATATGGCAGGTTATATTGTTAGGGTTTAGTTGTCAGAGTAGTTTGTAGGCATTCACTAAGCCTTCTAGTTTACATGATACATTCATTTAAAAATTACCTGGAAAAATATTTTGCAATGTCATTTAAACTCATTAGCACTTCGATTATATTATTTCTACAGGCAATTCTGCAATAACAACAGCAAGAACAAGACCAGCAAGAACAAGAATAAGAGCAACAACTCCTCTCTGTAAGTTTTTTGCTTTTTTAAAATAACATTGTTGCTGCTATTCTTCTGCTTAAAACTCTGATGAGACTCTTACTGCCATGCTTGTACATATTTATGCTCCATACTAGCCCATACTTTGCTTTAAAGATATATAATATATTATATAAGTTGTAATACTATATCTTTAAAGCAAATTTCCTTCTAGATTTGCCTCAAACATAATTTCAAATATGTAATGTTGAGAGAGCACAAATAATGTCTCTCGACACCATCCTGATTCTTTTCTCATTGTCTTATTGCAGGGGTGTCAAACCTGTGGCCCACAGTCTGGATGCATCATGCGCTGGCCACGCCCACTCCCATTGTAGCAAAGGGGGGAAAGTTATGATATGTGACGACATGTCGTCGCAAGTTTGACACCCCTGTCTTATTGTGTGAACCAATTCATGAACCAATGCAAACTGATTGTTGACACAATTGGCTTTGGATGAACTGCAGTCCCATAGGACGATATCAATCCCTCTCCAGTATCAGATGCACTCAGCTGATATGAGCCAGAGACTTATTTCGGTATGATTAGGAGGCAATTGCAAATATTTTGAAAAAGGAGCTTGAAAATTCATAGGAATGAATCCAAAACACTCTCCCTCCAAACCATTAAATATCTTTTTGCAGACACAGATGGCTGTTTCAGGATATATTTCTGAATGTGTGAGTGTGTGCGTGCACATAGCTGCTGCATTTTATTATCCAGCAAGACAGGAAATGCCTCTACAGGGATATTTGGGTGACTGCAAACACAGGGACTTAAACCCTGATAATGTGGGGATCTGTGGTCCTCGGTGGTCTCTGAGCTTGGTTGTTTTTTTGGAGATGTTTCATTATGCAAACTAGGTAACATCATCAGTGCTACCAGTACTTCTCATGTCAATCCTGAGCTACAAATATAACTGGGTTTTCACTGGCATCTCTAATACAAGGTAATGAGAAGAATTGTATGCTCACCATTTTTCAAAAGTTGAATTGTACACAGGAATATTGGAAAAGAGGGCAGAAGGTTTGAACTATAAAAGTTAATACCCCTTTGACATTTCAGCGTCTACCACTGTGAATTTAATCATTTTAGTTTGTGGACTTCATTGACATTTAAAAGTTCATTTAATTAATGAACTACTTATGAAAATAAGGTTTTTCCCTAGAGAGATATCAGTAATTTTCATGTATTCTTAAGAAATATTCTTTCTAATAAGCACAAAATCACAGTCTGATCTGTTGCAATAAGAGATGTTCCTGCAAATCACTGATGTATTTTTTTTATTTTCCAAATACAACCCCCATTTATGGTGGTGAGTTTTCAAACATTTATGTTGGTTTGAGTTAGAACTGTTAGATCAGCCTTTGTCAACCACTTGTTTCCCAAGTGCAACAAAACCCAGTTATAAACTGGAATTCTGGGAGCTGTAATCATGGCATGCCTGGAAAACTACCATTTGGGAAGGTTGCATTAGACAAATAAGGATTGAAGTAGAGGGTTTAAAAATGAGACAGGTGACAAATAAAGTTGCCTTTGCCCTACAAAGAATCATCACAAGTTAGGGATCTTACCAGAAACATACAAGTGATGGCTAACCTTTTTGCTATCACGTGCCAAAAGTGGGGGGAGCATGGGAGGAGTCGTGCACATGCTCACAACCATAATTCAATGCACCCCCCACCCACCCCGCACATGCACGTTTGACCCCCTGCGCTCCCTCTGCTTTTGGCATGTGGTGGCACGGTGAGCCCGGTAGGCCCATTTTTTGCCCTCCCAAGGTTCCAGAAGCTTTCTAGGAGCCTGGGGAGAACAAAAAGAGCCTTCCCCTCCCCTGGAGGCCCTCTGGAGGCTGGAAACGGCCCATTTCCCGACTTCCAGTGAGCCCGATAGGCCCATTTTTCGTCCTCCTGAGGCTTTCTAGGAGCCTGGGGAGGGCAGAAATGGCCTTACCCACCCCACCCCACCCGGAAGCCGTCCGGAGGCAGAAATGTCATATACAGTACTCCAATTATCCAAACCTTCTTTGGCCAGCATAGCATGCTCTGGCCCTCTGTTTGTTTGCTTTTCTTTAACTACTCTTTGGCCTCTTGAGTCATGCCTTGTTTGGGAAGGAAGACTTTTATAGGAAAAGATTGGCTTCTTCATTCAAATGGAGGTGGGAAAAGAGAAGCTTTAAAGATAAGCCTTTATGGAAGGATATTTCACTTATTGATATTCCCTGCTTTGCTCCAGCAATATTTGTTTTCCCAACCGAAACCAATAGCAGTGGAAACATAATCAGTCTTTGTTATTCTATTGCCCCAGTCAAAAATTACTTTTTTAAAAGTAAAGTAGCAAGATCCAAATCAACATTTCTGTCAAGTCATCTGAAACAGCACCACTTGAAAAGGTTGTGTTTTGTTCTGAGTACGGGACAAAAACATGGAGGTTCTGAGTTGTCAACTTTAAATCCAAAACATTTGCATATCCAAGGCGGATTGAGTTTAGACCATACTATTTCAAAATTCAACTAGGGCCTTCAATGATCAATAAATATACATACAGAAGAATCCTCCCTATATAAACATGGGGTCTGGTTATTTGAGTGACCACTGGCCTCTGTTCCATGTTACTTCTGGCTGTTCCATGAGATTAGGCCTAGTAGGAGCACTTCAGATCCCATCATTTAAGCAGTGCCATGTAGTGGGACTCTACTAGACCCTTCTTTGTTGTGGTATCTTCTTTCTGGAATGATATCTCGCCTCCCATCCCTGAAATCCAAAGGCTCCCCCTCTGATTAAGTTTAGGAATCTTTGAAGTCTTAGTTATCTTTCCAAGCTTTGGATCAGGGCAATAGTTGAATCCTGTTGGATGTTTTTCTCTTCTCTTCTTTTCTTTTCTTTTCTTTTCTTTTCTTTTCTTTTCTTTTCCTTTCCTTTCCTTTCCTTTTCCTTGTCCTTTTCCTTTTCCTTTTCCTTTTGCATCTTTGCCAACCCCAAACAAATATAAAGATATTAAGATAAAGAATGAATTGTTAAACTTTAAAGAATAAAAGAGAACAAATATGAATAAATAGCAATAATTAGAAACACACATACAAACATGCAATGTATTTTCTTTGAACAGAATATTTGGCTGGTTCACAAATTTAAACAGCGTTTAGTCATTTCAATTAAATTTACAATTTCTATATTTCCTTTTTGCCATATTTATTCCTCATCTATTTTTTTAAAAAAACAATATTACCCTTCATCCTCATCTCTAATCTTAATCAAATTCAATTTTTCCCTTCTATTCTATATTATACCCTTTCCCATTGTCATCTATTTTTATATCCATCCTCACATTGGTTAATTATGTAATTATGTAATACAGTTGTTTAATACAAATTCAACATTTTAATATAAATCAATTAGTTATATAACTATCTTTTTTGTATATTAATCAATATGAACATGAATATTCCAATTATTTCCATGCAATCCAATTTCTTACAAATCAATTAATTATATTTACCAATAATAATAAACCAAATAATTTCCCCCATATATTCCTCCAAACCACAACTTAACCATTTCTGCTTTCAACACAATATACAATTATTAATAGTATCTCAATTATTACAATTCCCTAGTTAAATAGAGCTTTTTTTCTTTTGTGTTTTAAAATCTTGAACTCTCCTCTTTTGCCCAAAATTTCCCATTGTTTACAGTTTTGTACCTACCTTTTTTGGTGAGGAAAAAGAAAAAGAAAGAAATCTCTCTCTGCCTCATTTTGTCACGTTGCAGCTTTACTTTCGCTTTCGCCTTTGTTTTCAGCTAGGGGGAAAAAAATCTGCTCCAGGAACTTTTTGCACCTTTTTGCAGCTTTTTGCAGCTAATTAACCTAGCGGAAGCTGTTAACAGGGGCTGTTTTTTCTATTTTTGCAGGCATGGGTCTACTCTTTTTTTTAACACTGATCAGCTGTAGGTCGGCCCTTTGAAGCCCCGCGGCAAGAGTTTAAAGAGTTTTTTTCCCCTCTAGCCATCAGCGGGGATTCAGGAGGCAGCCGGGACTCAGGAGGCAGAATGAAAAATCGGGACTTTTTTAAAACGCCGCGGGACGCGGGACAAATTGCTCAAAAGCGGGACTGTCCCGCCAAAAGCGGGACGTCTGGTCACCTTAGCCTATCCCACCTTTTTTTTCTGACATTGTAGCTTAGTACTGCAGGGACCTTTTGAACAGAAGAACATCATCTATGTTCTGAAGTAATCCTTCCCAGGTATATATTTATCACATCAGAAATAGGCCACTAACCTGTCAGAGGAAGGAATGGAAACATAAGGCTAAGATTTACAGTATATTATGTTTAAGTCCCCCAAGGTGGGCTGTAGCGTCCCATTTAAAAGTAGTAAGACTGAAGCAAGGCAATAATTCCACATTTATTTGGGAGATACATTTTAAAACCATCCTTTTGTGTCCATTAAATGTACAAATATGTAGGAACCTAATGATTGATTAATTAATTAAGAGTTGTGGTTGCACAGTAGTTAGAATGCAGTACTGCAGGCTAATTCTGCTGACTGTTGGCTGCCTGCAATTTGGCAGTTTGAATATTACTGGCTCAAGGTTGACTCAGCCTTCCATTCTTCCAAGGTCAGTAAAATGAGGACCCAGATTGTTGGTGGCAATATGCTGGTTCAATAAACCGCTGAGAAAGGATTGTAAAGCACTGTGAAGAGGTATATAAGTCTAAGTGCTATTGCTAAGTGCTATTGCTAATAACACTCTTTTTAATGTCTATTTAAAGAAATTGATGTGAGGCTGTCGGGAAACTGTTCCGGTCTTCTTGAAATTTATTACTTTGGTAGATGGGCTGGTGTATGCTATGAACAATTCAACCTGGCGGATGCTGAGGTCATCTGCAGGCAGCTACAGTGTGGCCGACCACTTACAGTTGGGAAATACAACGACGGCATCACTTACCCTTACTTGAGTAACGTGTTCTGTACTGGCAATGAAGACTACTTCTGGCAATGCTCTTTTCGAGAAGGAGGCTGCCAAACCAACACAAATGTTGCAGTCACATGTGCAGGTATAAGTCATTCTCTGATTTTGTGTCACGTTGATACCAGGAAAAGCAGGTTATGGAGTAAAGGCGGAAGTCCAAAGTACAATTCAATATCCATAGGCACAGCCATCTCCAATTTAGTACCCTTCAGAAGTATTGGCTATATTAACCATAAGTCCATGAATTGTATTGGCTGGAAACATTTCATGCACCATCATTAAGGAGGACTTCCTAGTAAGGTAGCTGATAGGATTTTGTTACTATTTGTTTGACTGATATGTTTATGATCAATCATTTATTAGTCCCAGATAGTTAAGGTGTTCTTTATTTATAGGGAGTCCTTGACTTAACGACCACAATTGAGCTCAAAATTTCTGTTGTTAAGTGAGACATTGGTTACGTGAATTTTGCCCCATTTTACAACCTTTCTTGTCAAAGTTGTTAAGTGAATCTATTATTTATTTATTATTTATTAATTAAACTTGTATGCCGCCCCTCTCCGAAGACTCAGGGCGGCTCACAATGCATTTAAAATCATTATAAAAAACATTTAAAAATTAAAAACATTAAAAACATTAAAACTCATTCACACCATTCATGGCCGGATCTGGCCGGATCGCAAGATCTCGCTGGCGGAAGATCCGCTGGCCCCAGGCCTGCCGGAAAAGCCAGATCTTCACCACTTTTCGGAAGGCCAATAGGGTGGGGATAGTCCGGACCTCAGGAGGTAACTGGTTCCAGAGAGCTGGGGCAGCCACAGAGAAGGCCCTCCCCCGCAGGCCCGCCAGCCAGCATTGTTTAGCTGACGGGACCCGGAGGAGACCAACTCTGTGGGATCTTACTGGTCGTTGGGAGTTATGCGGTAGAAGGCGGTCTCGAAGATACCCTGGCCCTGAGCCATGTAGGGCTTTAAAGGTAATAACCAACACCTTGAATTGTGACCGGAGACCAATAGGGAGCCAGTGCAGATGGCTTCGCCATTGACTTCGCTTGTTCAGAAGGTTGCAAAAAGTGATCACATGACCTTGGGACACAACAGTGGTCATGAGTCAGTTGGCAAGCACCTGAATTTTGATCACACGATCATGGGGATGCTGCAAAGGTTGTAAGTGTGCAACACAGTCATAAATCACTTTTTTCATTGTAAACCGTGAACGGTCAAGGAATGCACCTTGTACCTCTGTACCTGCAAATCTGATGTACAGGAATTTTTCCAGTACATAAAATCCTTTGGTTGTGCAATTGATCATCATAAACATTACCTATTTACATATTTTCCTAGAACAGGAGAAAATAATTACCAGAGTGTGTAGTTCGGTTTTTAAGTGTTGTTCGTCAGCTAAGCGTTTTGTTCTGGAAATGAGTGTCTTGGCTACAGAGTTGATCTGGGCAGGGTGGTGGTGTGAGAGTGCGTGCAGATAGCGGTTTGTGTGTGTTTTCTTCTGGTAGATAGTGTGTCCTAGGGAGCCATTGGATTTTCTGTATGGTCATAATTTAATTTAATTTAATTTAATTTCCAATTTATATACCGCCCTTCTCCCTGAGGACTCAGGGCGGTGTACAGCCAAGATAAAAAACATAGAATACAAATATTAAAACATTTAAAAATAAATATAAATTTCGGCCCGAAAGTTAAGATATCACAAACTAATTAAAAGAATCTAAAAATTTCTTCTAAGCCAACCCGGCTTGCTGAAAAAGATAGGTTTTCTGTAGACTAAGACATCCAGGAAGGGAAGTTGGTTGTTCGCTTCTGTTTCCATGGTGAACTGTATTTTGGGGTGTAGGCTGTTGAGGTGTGTGAGGAAGTTGTCCAGTTTTTCTTTCCCATGTGGCCAGATTATGAAGGTGTCGTCTACATATCTGAGCCAGAGTTTGGGTTTGTGATCAGATTTTTCTAGAGCTTGGGTTTCAAAGTATTCCATATAGAGGTTGGCAATGACAGGTGAGAGGGGTGATCCCATGGGTGCTCCTTCTATTTGTTTGTATTTCTGTCCATTATAGATGAAGTATGTGTTGGATAGGCAGTGGTTGGTCAGATCTAAGATGTGCTTGGGGGGGGGTTATATTTGTTTTGGATAACTGTCAAGGCTTCTTTGATTGGTACCTGGGTGAAGAGGGGTATGACATCGAAGCTCATGAGTAGGTCACTGGGCTGTAAGTTTTGTTGCTTTATGATGTCTATGAACTGGAATGAGTTTCTTACATGTGAGTTGATGGATTCTGCATAGGGCTGTAGTTGTTTGGCGAGAAATTTGGCTAGGTTTTGTAGAGGTGAGCCTATGGAGCTGACTATGGGTCTAAGTGGGGTTCCTTCTTTGTGTATCTTGGGGATACACAATAATACACTGATAATGAGCCACGACCAAGGACCAGAAGCCAGACCGCAGCTGCATCATTAGCCACTTTAAACCCCTCCAATCCATACATGAAGCAGACTGACACCCACCATGAAGAGCTCGCACGGCCACAAACACGAAGCCAAACAACAACAACGCAGCTCACCAGCTCAAATCCCCCTGCAACTCAGACTAAGCTGAGCACAACCAAGCCCCCACCCAAACAGAACACACCCCCAGCCAATCAGAGCACAACCAACCTTGAAGTGATGTCCCGGTGCCTGGAGGCCGTACGGATCTGGATGGGGAGGTACAGGCTCAGGCTCAACCCATCCAAGACCGAGTGGCTGTGGTTTCCGACGTCCCGATATAGCCAGTTGACGCCATCACTGACTATTGGGGGCGAATCATTGGCCCCCACGGAGAGGGCTCGCAACTTGGGCGTCCTCCTGGATTCACGGCTGTCTTTAGAAGAGCACTTGACGGCTGTGACTGGGAGGATTTTTTATCAGGTCCGCCTGATTCGCCAGTTGCGTCCCTTTCTGGATCAGGACTCGTTACGCACGGTCACTCATGCCCTCGTCACCTCCCGCCTGGACTATTGTAATGCTCTCTACATGGGGCTCCCCTTGAGGAGCACCCGGAGGCTCCAACTGGCGCAGAGTGCGGCCACACGGGTGGTAATGGGAGCGACATGGCGCTCCCATGTAACACCTCTCCTGCGCGAGCTGCATTGGCTCCCGGTGGTCTTCCGGGTGCGCTTCAAGGTTTTGGTTACCACCTTTAAAGCGCTCCATGGCTTAGGGCCTGGTTATTTACGGGACCGCCTACTACCACCAATAGCCTCCCACTGGCCAGTACGCTCTCATAGAGAGGGACTCCTCCGGGTGCCGTCAGCCAAACAGTGTCGACTGGCGGCCCCTAGGGGGAGAGCCTTCTCTGTGGGGGCACCTACCATCTGGAATGAGCTCCCCCCAGAGATAAGGAGGATCCCGGATCTGCGCTCCTTCCGCCGTGCTGTGAAGACCTTTTTATTCCATCAAGCGGGCTTGGCCTGATCTCTTCCCTTTTTAAATATGTAAATTTTAATCTGTTTTTAAATTATTGGGGTATTTTAATTTGTCTGGGCCAAAAAGTTTAATTTGATTTTATCGGGTTTTTAAATTTTGTGTATTTATGTATTTTATTGTTGGCTGTTCACCGCCCTGAGTCCTTCGGGAGTAGGGCGGTATACAAATCAAATAAATAAAATAAATAAATAAACCCCCCAGCCAATCAGAGCACAGCCAAGCCCCTAACCAACCAGAACACACCTCCACCCAATCAGAACACAGCCAAGTTCCCACCCAATCAGCTCACACCCCCACTAGCAGTTAAAAGGAAGAGACAGCTGCGATCTCACATTGCTCCTGGAAGCACGAAGCCGAGAACACCAGCCTGAAGATGACGAATGAGACTTCATCAAAACGTCGCCAAGAAACCTCCAATTTTACGCGGGAGAAAACCCGAATAACCAAAGACCTACATATATATATATATATATATATATATATATATATATATATATATATAATGATCAATAATATGTATAATAATATGTACATTTAATGCCTCATGTTTCTTCTTTTGTTGTCAACAGGCTCAAAATGGCTTCAAACAACAGGTAATTTTGAATTAATACAACTGTCAAGCATCTGGGAAATCAGGAGATTCAGGCAGTTCAAGTGAGAATAAAGATTCATTGCATGCTTAAGTTCTTTGCAAGAATCTGGCCAAGTGACCATTAAGGGAAATGCACAGGAGTTAAGAATAGGGAGGAATTCGACTGAGATCTCTTGCAGGTGCTTAGGGACTTGTGACTTATGACACATTTGACCCCTCCCTCAGGCTCAGCCTGGTCATCTTCTACAACATCTTCAAAATAACTTATTCGTATCCAGCTGTGAAATATAAATCAGTTTTGCTGTTGTAAAACATTGTTTTTTGCTATTTATAAAAAATAGCAAAACAATGTTTTATTGTATGTTTATAAAAAATAAACACACACACACATATACTTTCCTGATATGGGTTGCTCAGCCTTGAGATGAGTAATTAAGATCCAGTAACTTGTTTCTTTGGTACTGTGTAATTGCAACATTCCTTAGCTTCTTGAACAGTTTATAAACCCAAACAAATCTTGATCTCAAATGGAAATAAATGGCATCTGCCATCCTTATTGTACAGTAGTTTAGAGCTAAGGACCAAGAAGTTGATCTGGATATATAGAAAAGACCTATAAGCACTCTGGATAGTTAATTTTTTTTTCAACATAATATCTAACTACCAGACAGGTAGTAACTGTGTTGTTTAAAAAAACATTTGTTAAATCAGGGGAACTGCCACAAAAAAAGTGATTTAGTTTAAAAAAAATTTGGTAGTTAGATATTATATTTGGGAAAAAAAGCCTTGTTTAGGTATGAAATTCTCTTAAATCCATTTTTCCAGATATAATTTCTTTGCTCTGTTTATCTGAAGAATTTTCAGTTACAGAGGAGCAATATATTAAGCAATACTCCATTGATATATTTGAAACCAAAGTTCACTTCCCCATTTATTTTCAGTTTTCATACATAAATGTGTTGTTATAGTTATTTTCGTGGTATATTAGGAATTACAGGTTACCATTATGTGAATGGTATGGATCTTATAACATTGTACAGATGCAATCACTAAAATTAATTTGGAGCGCCCCCCTGAGGTGATCCGTTCCTACAACAAGATGTGTGAAAAATCACTATGCCCTGTAAAATGGCTTTGCAGTTCCCATTCAAGATTTTTAAAAGCATCAAACTGATTTTGGTTACTTATCTTTGTCTTTAATTATTCTTATTTGTTGGTGACATCAGAGATGGAGTGGTTCATAAAATTAAGGTTTTTGAAAAGGCAGATAGAAATTTATAAGGGATTTGTTAGATAGAAATATGAAGTCAAATGAAAGTTGATTATGATACTTTCTAATTTAATATACTAACTATTAATAAATGAGTGGCTATAGTCCATGTGGGATGCTATTCATTTTTTATATTATATTCTTTTCTTTCAAGTTGTTTTCATTAAGAAAATTTTGTACATGTGTGTGTATGTAGATAGATATCATCAAATGTTTGACATACCCTAAAATATTTCATGGGTAAAATGTTATTAGTGTGCTATTATCTGTCATGTAGTTTAATATGTCTCTTTTCCTTTTTTCAGCTCTTCCTCCTTTTTCAGATTTTCCAAAATTCACAGCACCTGGTTATAGAAAAGGTAAAATTATACACTGTGCTTTCCTACAATTTGCTAATATGAAAAAAAGATTTTGCTTGGTATCAATAAATCACATAAAATTTGGATATTAACTTCAGCATTTCTTTCTGTTTCTGATTATAGTTATGTCTACAGTAACACTATCTTTTAAGCTGTAGTTTCAAGGACTATTGATTTAAGCTAAGCTTTCATATCTGGCCTGTAAAATTACAGAAGACCATGGGATGGCCCCACAGTAATAGAAAACAGCCCAATTTTGCTAATTTTACTGATCTTTTAATGAAGTACATATAATAATATGTATGGATGCATATAATAATAATAAGGATGCTCTAGTAACAATTGAAAAAAATTATAAAATTTAATTTTATTTAATTTCATAATTTTTTCAATTGTTACTATATAATACCCAATTATTGTATTTATTGTACAATTATTATTATGATTGATTATACAATTATAGTCAATTAAAAGTATACTCAATTTTATTTATATATTACCAGTAAGAAAACTGGATAGCAAAGAAAATATTTGAGAGCCATTTTACCCTGATCGTTACAGGGTTAGATTAGGACCACAGAAACCACAGGTCTAGTCCTGCTTTGAAGGCAGCTGTGTTTTGGGGTAAGTCCCTCTTTCTGAAAATGTTGTCAAGAAAGGTACATATACGTTTCCATATACAGTAGTAATTCAAGAGTCAAAACTGGATTTCAAGTATTATTACATCCAAACTGATTCATAGTAATTATTCCCTTTTTAATCCTTGCTTTATAAAAATATCCCCACCATTTAAAAATTGCTCCCTCTTGTGTTGGAAGCACTGATGTGCTTCCGGGTTGAAGGATTAGCCGGTGACATCACTGTTGTCCTGGTCGGGGACTCCTTTCATATTCCCTTTATGTTGCCCACCAACGTGGTACCCATCTATTTACTTGCAATTGCCCGCTTTCAAACTGCTGGGTTGACAGGAGATGGAGCAAAGGACAGGAGCTCGCCCCATCTTGCAGCAGCACTCACGTCTCAAAACAGGCTTGCTGATTGCCAACCCAGTATCCTAATCACGTGAGCCACTGCACTTCTATTTAAAAATAATTATTCCAAACTATCGATTTCTCATAAAAATGAATTTCAATTTCTTTGTCAAGAAAAATGAAATATGTTTGACTGCCTCAAGTATTGGAAAAGTCATCAGATGGTTGCCATAATTAGAACCAAGAATTTGCCAGGACTTTAAAAGCATCAAATTATACCTCATATTGAGTCTATATTGTGTTCAATGTCGTATTCCAATCCATTATTGACATTAACAAATATGCCTCATGATAACAAGGAGAAAATTAAACCGCTATTGTTATATGACAGTGATTTTTGCTCTTTCGAAAAATTCCCCCGCCCCCCCATATCAGGAGTATATGAATATATTTATTGAAGTAGAGTTTTGGGAGAGTTGGTTTTGTTTTTGTATAATAATACCTTATTTTTGCAGGGTGAAAAAGCACAGACTTGGAGCAGACAGTCTGATGGCATTATTATTATTGTTATTGTTGTTGTTATTATTATTATCTGTAGCACAGGCAGCCAGATTTTTATTATTATTATTATTTTAGATTTAATCTTCAATTCGATTTACAATCTGGGACTGGTAAAAACTTAATAATTCAAGCCCTAACCAAGGACCTAAGAGCTGTTAAGGTAACATCACAGTATATAGGCAGTTCTGAGTAAGGTGGTTTTTTACAAAGTCAGGATATTCAAGTCTGATAAATTCAAAATTTCCATGTATCTAGGCAACTCTTTGGGTATTGCTCCAAGGCCTCCTATTTCTAGTGGTACAACCATTGGTACTATTGATTTCTTCCTCCACAATTGCTCAACTTTAATTTGCAGATAGCAATATTACGTTATTTTTTTCTAATTGTTTCTCTTCAATTCGTTCATCACCTGGTGCTGCAATATCAATGAACCATATTATTGTTGGCGGTGGCAGTGGTGGTGCTATTCTTCGTGTAATCTTTTTGGTCCTCTTGGTTGGGGATGCTAGAAACTGAAGCACAAAATCTCAGCATGCCCATTTTCTGCCAATGTCTTCAAGAAAAGAAAAATAGCTTTGTTGAACAGTTATATTCAAAATGTTAATTTTCCAGCAACAATATGGAAGAGATTGCCATCGTCTCCTCCTTAAATTCTTTTAAAATTCCCAAACAAGCATACATTTGGCATTTCCTAATGACCTCCAAGAAAACTTGATCCCAAAAGATAAGCCCTGATTATTTGTTTTGAGATCAGCCAAGGTTGGGTAGCTTCTGGGTACCACATCTGCATATTAAATTTGTGTATCTTCGACAAAAAGAGCAATCATACTAATTCATTAATTAAATTTTAAGACCTCCGATTGGTAAATGGAGGGGATAGGTGTCAAGGCCGCGTTGAAGTTCGGCGTGACTACGGACAATGGGGGACAGTTTGTGATGACTCATGGGATCTAAACGATGCGGCGGTAGTATGCAGACAACTCGGATGTGGGCAAGCTGTTCAAGCTACAAGTGCAGCCTATTTTGGACAAGGATATGGTCCTATTCTCCTGGATGATGTTTACTGCCGTGGGTATGAATACTATCTTTGGAACTGTACAACTTCAGACTGGGGAATTCATAATTGCGGCCACCATGAAGATGCTGGTGTTATTTGTTCAGGTACGTTGTCATCCTAGGATGAGTTCAATATGCATATTTTATGGGAGTTTTTTTCCCATTGGTAGTTAATGTTGAGAGTTTGTACATCTTAGTGTACTTAGTGTTGGAACTTAATATTCTAACTCACCTAATGAAAACCCAGGATACTAACAAACAAACCCAGAAGAAAATGATAACTATAAAATTATAAAGGGATAGGATTCACCAAGAAAAGAAAAAGTTAGATGGGCAAAATCGGACTTGCAGAAATATATCTGTCAGCAACTTTTACCTGAAGAAAAATGTCATGCCAGCCTGGCATACAGCTGAGGTTACCTTGTTGCACTATGGTAGTGGAGACCCATGAGTGTGTGTGTGGGAGGGGGAAAGAGCCAGGTTTTAAGAGTTCATTTAAATACATGGGGGCTATATGAATCTCTGGAGGAACCTCATTTCAGAGGACAGGTGCTGTAACAGACCTCTGCTTTCTTGGTCCCATGAAGTGATACCATCTAGCTCAGGGGTGTCGAACTCAAGGCCTGGGGGATGGATCTGGCTTGCAGGATACTTAGATTTGGCCCAGAGGGCCGCCCTGGAAACAGCGAAGGATCGGCCCACAGTGCCTCTGCCAGTGAAAATGGGCTCCTGAGCTCCATTTTTGGCTGTGACAGCCTCCTTCAACCCCCTGCCAGTGAAATCAGAGCTCAGGAGCACCACATGCGGCCCTCCCAAGCTCTGTTTTCACTGGCAGAGGGTTCCAGGAAGCTGCCACATCCAAGAATGGACCTCAGGAGCCCATTTTCATTGACAGAGTACTCAGGCCACCACAGGTGCCTCCAACATGAGTGACGTCAAGCTGGCCATGCCAACCCCGGCTACGCCAGCCCAGCCTCAGCCCCCCGAAGTCAAATACAACCCTTATGTGGCCCTCAATGAAATCAAGTTTGACACCCCTGATCTAGCTGATGGAATCCAAAGCATGCTGACTCTAATTGCATAGAATGGAGCTACAGAAGCCACAGTAAATAGACATTTCCTCAGACAAACAGCCTCAAGGCCATTAAAGGCTTGATAAGTAATAACCAGAATTTTGAATCCCACCCCAAAGCCTCCTGGTAACTAGTGCAGTTAGATATAGTCCAGAAAGATATAGCTGAGTAATGGTTAAACAGTGGAAGCCATAAAGATATCATGCTCTCTGCAGGGAATTTTAGGACAAGGTGGATAAATATAAGGCAGGATTCTATTTAGAAAGAGCAATAAAAGAGCATGTAGCTTAGAGACTCTACTGAGCCATTTCAAGGATATTGATAGTATGGGGAAATATTTTGATAACACCCGGCAGAGCAGCAGATGTATAACTCTCTCAAATTAGACAATAACTCTACCATCCCTGAAATAGTCACATAATATCACCAGAAAATCTTGTATTCAAGCAGAATTAGCTACATAATGATTGCAGCGCAGGCAAAGAGGGCCGTTTAATTACATCGAATAGCTATGGAAAAACGTAGCCCTTTTGCCTTTTTGTACTCTTGAAGTGGCCTCTTGAAACCAAATAGTTGGTTCAGACATGAGTACAGGTAAGTAACTTTTGCAGCCTTAGCAAAACAAAGCAAACACTATTCTTCTGGTCATTGTATCCACTTTACAAGCAATGCGATAAGAAATGGATATGCATATCAATACAGTCATTGTGTGGCTAAACTACTACAGTAAATCTCTTGAAATGTAATCAAATTGCTTTTTTTCTTTTTCAGCGAGTATTCATTCAACATCAGGTAATGCTGAGACACTAGAAGTGTATTTCAATGTACAGTTTGATTATTTGAAAATTTACAGTTGAGTGAAGAATTTGGAGATGGGGAGGGATCATCTGATCAACAATACTTTTCCAAATAAGTCAGTATTCCCCAGCTATGCATCTGGACTGCTGTTCATTTTTGAAACATGTGATTTTCTCCTTGAAAATTAACATATGTGGGAGCATATTGGATTATTTCTCTGCACCCAGATAGCCTTTATATCCAGGGACAAACATCTCACAATAAAATCTGGACCATCCACTGTTTTGGTAATTTGGATATTTTCATGAAAAGCAAAATAAGCAAAGCTAAGTACTTTTTGTTTGTTTGATGAAATAAATGAAAAATGTTTCATCTTTACTCTTTGTTTATTGACATATTTTGGATTGCTAACAATAGGTAAATTTGAAATATCTGCAAAACGGGGCATGAGGATCCAACTATAAAACCTAAACTAATTTGGCGACTAGCCTTTGCTTTGTATATGTTTCAGTGTTTGTTATCTAGTCCTATGATACATATTTCTATTAAGTAGATTAAGTGCTGTTAAGGCAGTGATGACTCTTAATTACCACATAAACAGATTTTCTCCATGATGATCTGTCCCTAACCTGGTCTTTCAGGTCATCAAACAGTGAACCCATCACCACCGTAATGGAGCCCATCCACCTCCCATCACAAATTTACCTTTATTGGTGTAATATGACCTATTCAGGGTTTAACTGTGGTAATAAAAAACTGTTATAACTTTAGTTACATCTACTACAGCAGAAAACATTGCTATCTGAATACATTTATCCAAAATAGAGTGGTTAATATATTATCACATTCAAATCTAAGGATTTCAGAGCGCATGGTAGATGTTTTAAAAAATTCCAATGTCTTCCTGCTCAAGCTATGTTTTCCTCTTCAAGCATTGCACATCTCTAGCTTGCATTATTTGAACTACTGAGTCACGGCAGTGCAGTGGTTAGAGTGCAGTACTGCAGGCCACTTCTGCTGACTGCCGGCTGTCAGCAATTTGACAGTTCAGATCTCACCAGGCTCAAGGTTGACTCAGCCTTTCATCCTTCCGAGGTGGGTAAAATGAGGACTCAGATTGTTGGGTGCAATAGGCTGACTCTGTAAACCGCTTAAAGAGGGCTGTAAAGCACTGTGAAGCGGTATATAAGTCTAAGTGCTATTGCTACTGTGCTGTGAAAACAAGCAAAGAACCAAAAACTCCTTCTTGGTGATTGCAGAGTATTTCATGACTTAGTATATTTGTTATTGTGATTGAATGTTCAGTAATGTCAACGTTCATTATCAAAATCTCAAAATCAATCTGCTTTTAACCTTGTGTAGTATGCTATATGATTTCAGAATGTAATTTCATGCTTTATCTATCACTGTAGCTTATCTAATATTTTATCTTTGTTCACTGGCAGGTCCTCAATGGACACCACGGACAACTGTTGGTAAGAAAGCTTTGGGGATTTGTTTCATCTGTTAAATGTAATCCATTTAAAGTATATGAATAGGGTGTATTTAAAAAGTAAAAAGACTTGATTTAAATCAACTTGGTTTAAATCATAATTTTTAAAGAGCAACTGTCATCTCTGTCCTGCAGCAGCTCCTCCTCTGACCTGCTGTTGACTCACCAACAGTTCCCATATTGCAGAATATACAGCCTCATGCTACATAACTAAGCTCCATTTCATACTGAATAAACTAAATTATTAATGTATCTTAAATAGAAAACTACCTTTAGACAGATTTTTATTCCAAAAGCATTATACCCAATTGAAGAGTTAGGACAATGCTTACATAACTTTCTGGAAAAGGAGATTTCCTGAACATCTCTTGTTAGGTAAGGAAGCAAGGTTAGATATAATTTCTCTGCTTTCTTTTTCAAAATAAGGACTAACAGCAGGCATCTTGGGTTTTGTTTTTTTAAACTGGCTTAATGACATACAGCCACGATTGCACAATTAATGTGCTGCAGGCAAATGTCCAAGATAAGCCAGGAAGTCAAAATTGAGCCAGGAAATCTAAGAAACAACCTAATGAATCGTAAATGCCCCTGTCATGGAACAAGCAGAAATCAAAATCAAAGATAGATGACATGTCATAAAAGTGACCCAAAAGAATAGATGGGGCCAAAGTAAAAGGGAGCCGAACAGAGAAAGCCAAGATACACACTCTCCAATCAGGAAGTCTTTCTCAATCCAGCAAGCCAAATAAATAGGAGACTTTTTATCATTCTCCTGATCAAGGCAAACTCACCGATCAGCCTGAATGGGTGGGAGTCCTTCAGGATCAGTCTCATAATTAAGATCCTTCAGGATCATTCCCATAATTCAAATACCAGTAGTCCACATGACAAGTACCTTCCCATAAGTCTAAATCCATTCTAGTTCCAGAAGCTTTTCATTGCCTAATTCTGTTGGATCTGTACAGGTAGCTATCAACTTACAACAATTCATTTAGTGACAGTTCAAAGTTACAACAGCACAGAAAAAAGGAACTTATGACCATTTTTTGCCCTTATGACCCCTGCAGAATTCCCAAATCAGAATCAAAATTCAAAATGATGGTTGCAATGTCCCAGGGCCATGTGATAGTCTTCTGCAACCTTCTGACAAGCAAAATCAATGAAGAAGTCAGATTCACTTAGTAACCATGGGACTACCTTAAGAACTGCAGTGATTCACTTAACAATGGTGGCAAGAAAAGTTGTAAAATAGGACAAAATTTACTGAACAGATGTCTAGCTTAGCAACAGAAATTTTGGATTCAATCTGTCATCATAAGTCGAGAACTACCTATATATGGACATCCTTAGCCGAACAGTTCATTCAATTCAGCAGACTAAGTCATCCATAGATGCAAAGCCATCATGCCATTTTCTTTTGAGATAAACAGTGTTATACAGAGTACAGAAAAGAATAAGAAACTATAAGCTAAAGAAATAGAATGCCTGAAATACGTTGCTTAAGCTTTTTTTTACACCATTCACTGTACATTACCACAATTTTCTTTTCTTTTTGCTTTTCTACTTCCCTACAACATTTCATAAATTTCCTAAAGAGTTTGGAAGTTCCAATCTCTTTGTTTTGGGAATCTTTTCAAAAGTTGTGCACCCATTCATACTTAATCCTATTTCTGCTTGTTTCATGACATGCACACTTCTTAAGGACACTATTGACATTGTATTCAATTTACTTTTATATTTCTTCTGACATACCCAATTTTTATTCCATACAACAAAAGCATTATACTATTATACATAGCTATTTTCACTCTTGTAAATAAAGAATAAATGTTATTTATTCACAACAAAACATGAAACAAACACTATCATTCGATTATTACTTACAATGTCAAAAGTTCTCCATCCATTTCCTCGCCTTTATTCACATCAACTTTATTCACACTCATCTACTTGCTCCAATTTTGTTACATAAAAGTTTTTACGTTTATGTAAAACTTGCAATTAGTCATTCAGTTTTCCCTAGGGAGAAGGGAATGTCTTAAACAATTATCCTTAATGTCTTAATGCTGAGCTATTCACCAAACATTTCATTTATTCTTGTGCATGTTTATTTCTATCAGCAGCCATTATTACAGTCATTAAAAAAACCCTTCAGTTCTGCATTCATGGAAACATTCCATAATTTGAACTTTACTCACATTATACCATGATTTCTCTGACTCAACAAAGATACATTCAAATATCTTTTTCTCATTTATTTTTGGTGGAATCACCATCTAGAGTAGAGGGGAGAGTAAAGAGGGAGCCTGGCACGAGAGGAAGAGGCCAGAATCTTAAAGCCTTTATCTACCTGTTTCAGAGAATGGAGTTAGTCTGGCAAGAGTCTTTTAAGTACATGATCAACAATAATTTTTAAAAAACCTACTTTGATCCACTCACAGAATAGTTCTGGTTCCTTGCACCTGACATTTATGCATTTCTTAGTCACATATTGAAGATTGAATATTGGCTTTGTCCAACCTGAGGGCAGGACAAGAAGCAATTGGTGGAAACTAATCAAGGAGAGAAGCAACCTAGAACTAAGGAGACATTTCTTGACACTTAGAACAATTAATCAGTGGAACAACTGGCCTCAAGAAGTTGTGAATGTTCCAACAGTGGAAGTTTTTAAGAAGACATTGGACAAAGTCAGAAATGGTATAGGGCAGTGGTGGGTTGCCCCTGGTCCGCACCGGTTCTATAGAACCGGTAGTAAAACTGGCGGGAATCTCTGCCCACTGACCCCGATGTCATCAAAATGTTTCTGTGTATGCGCAGAAGCACGCATGCGTGTGCTCGCTTTGGTGTCGCGCACGCGCGGTCCCGCTGCAAACCAACTAGTAAAGGTAAGTAGAACCCACCCTGGTATAGGGTTTCCTGCAGTGGTGGGTTGCTACTGGTTTGCCCCGGATTGGGCGAACCGGTAGCGGCAGCAGCGGCAAGCTCCACCCATCCACCTGGACACTTCTGCGCATGCACAGAAGCATTGTGTGCATGCCCACGAGCAAACCGGTAGCAACAGGTTTTGAAACCCACCCCTGGTTTCCTGCATGAGCAGGAGATTGGACGAGAAGACCTCCAAGGTCCCTTCCAACTCTGTTATTCTATTCTATTCTAACATATGTCCACATTGCAATTCCCAATTTTGGACTAACAAGACCTGGTGGATCCCCCATTCAGAATTTATAAACCCCTTTGTACCCTTGAGCCAGGAAATCTAAGAAACAACCCAGTGAATCATGCATGTCATGGAACAAGTAGAAATCAAAGACAGGTGAGCAAAGGAAGGGTTTTGTTTCAGCAAAAACAATCAAATGTTTTCTGAGTTATATTCATTTTTATGCTTCCTGTACACATGAACAGATATGAGCTTAAACAGCATATTCAGAATAAATGTAGATTTTCCTTGGTAGATATTCTTTAAACAGACACCATTTCATTCGTTCTGGGGTTTCTACTCTCTTGTTTTTAGAAATGTGGTTAAAACAGGGTTATTCCTGCAGGTTTTGGGAGCAGAATCTTATAATATTGTCCCACAGATTGCTAACATTTTCTAATTTAATTTATTAATGTTTTTCGTGTTAAATATTTAAAATAATGATGCTGGTATTTTTTTAAACTTGACTTTCAATGTTTAGATGCAGACCACCGACAATCATTTATAATACACTTATATTCATTTGTTACAGGCTAGTAACTTTGCACAGTAAGCATAGTAGCAAAGTGAAGTACTTTTTTTAAAACAAAAATGTTGTTTTTTTTATTTTGCTAGCAATGCCTTATAGACTTACCAATGAGACCTAGAAATAGATATATTGTTTCAACAGAAATTCATTCTTTGCCACATATTAAATAAATAAAACAAACATAAACTTTTCTCTTTCAGCGCGACGCACTACACCACATTGGCCAGGTAATGAAGACTGACTTAAAATGTATTTTCATGTACAGCATAAATTGGAAATAGAACAATAAGGAGGGGAGGATCCACTTCCACTTTTCTATGGCATGTCAGTTAACATAATTTACCCTTCACTAGCTTAGTTGAGTTTATTGTTTACCATTTAATGAGGTATCAAGCAAAATAAGATAAATATAATATAACAAGACCTATTTTACTAGCAATGCCACATTGACATACCATTGAGTTCCCGGAATAGATGTCACAATATATTGTTTCAGCAGCAAATCATTTCCTTGGCACATATTAAAAAATCATAAACTTTTCTCTTTCAGGATGGACTACACCGCATTGGCCAGGTAATGAAGACTGATTTAAATGTATTTTCATGAACAGCATACATTGGAAATAGGACAATAAGAAGGGGAGAATCCACTTCCACTTTCCTATGGCATGTTAATTAACATAATCTGCCCTTCACTATCTTAGTTGAGTTTATTGTTTACTGTTTAATTAGGTATCAAGCAAAATAAGATAAATATAATATAACAAGACCTACAACTCTTGCAGCATCCCATGGTCGTAAGACCACTAACATTTCCTAGTTTATTTATTTATTAATAAATTTATTAGTATGTCTAATGCTAAATGTTTTAAATAATGATGCTGTGGTCATCTTTTTTTATTATACTGGTATTTTTTAAACTCAACTTTCAAGATTTAGATGCATGACCACAGACAGTCAATTACAATATACATATATTTATTTGTTACAGGCTAGCAACTTTTGTAAGCATAGCAGTAAAGTCAAGTACTTTTTTTTTACTTTCTTGCTTTTTATTTTAATAGCACTGCCAGATAGACATACCATCGAGTTCCCGGAATAGATGTCACAGTATATTGTTTCAGCAGCAAATCATTTACTTGGCACATATTTAAAAGATCATAAACTTTTCTCTTTCAGGGTGGACTACACCGCGTTGGCCAGGTAATGAAGACTGACTTAAATGTATTTTCATGAACAGCATACATTGGAAATAGGACAATAAGGGGGGGAGGATCCACTTCCACTTTCCTATGGCAAGTCAGTTAACATAATCTGCCCTTCACTAGCTTAGTTGAGTTTATTGATTACTCTAATGATGTATTAAGCAAAATATGATTAAAGAGTGCAGCATATTGACATATTAAAAAAATATTCAGTGAAATAGTCAGATAAGATCATCCCTTGACAGTTGACCCCAAATCTGATCTAGATAGGAAGCTCTTAACTGAATGACTTTAGCTATAAACTTGGCAGTCTTTGTTACTGTCTGTGTGGAGGAAATAAGCAAGCCTATTGGATGGGCTATCCTGTTAATTATCAACTTTAAAGGCTATGCTGTGACTGAAACATTTGGTAAGCAGTCAAGGAGGATAGGAGTGATATCCCGATTTGTGGTGCACCATAGATACAGATCCTCTCTGGATAAGGTACTTGTTGAAATGCCTATGGTTTACCATACTATCCAATAACTCTATAATAAGTCTCCCCAACCCACCCTTTGGGGACTACAGATAGTCCTTGACTTACAATCATTCATTTTGTGACCATTCAAAGTCACACCAGCACTGAAAAAAAGTCATTACCTTTTTGCACACTTACAACCCTTGAAACATCCCCATGGTCAAAATTATTATATTGGTAACTGACTCCTATTGATGACAGTTGCAGTGACTTAGGGTCATGTGATCTCCAGGACAAACCAAGTCAATGGGGAAGCCAGTTTCACTTAAAAACAATGTTGCTAACTTAATAATTGCAGTGATTCACTCAACAAGTGTGGCAAGGAATATCTTAAAATGAGGCAAAACTCAATTAACAAAAGTCTCAGCAACAGAAAATCTGGGCTTGACTGTGGTTGTAAGTGGAGAACTGCACTGCCTGTATAATATTTAATCCCCAGTGCAAATGCATCTGCCAATGGAATGACCTCTATAGATTATAAACAGGAAAAAGTCTAGGATACAATCTTTTGGAAAGGACCTCAATGCCCCAGAGCCAGCTCTGTATCTTAACACTAATCCTTCTCTATGACTCCATAGTATTAAGTATTCTTTGTCGTTCATACATGTCCAATATTTCCAGCTACTTCAAAATTTTAAGAAGATTGTTGGGCTATAACTCTGAGTATCATAAATTATTGTTTTCTTGTCCAGAGCAGGGGTGAAATCTACTTACCTTCCTTATCAGTTTGAAAGTGCATGTGCCGCTTGCGCTTGCTCGCTTTGCTTGCACATGCATGCATCACATGTGTGCGCAGACCTGCACATGTGCAAAACCTTCTGCACATGCGCAAAACAAAAAGGTAAAAAACATATTACTTCCTGGTTAAAACCAGGAAGTAGCAACACCCGGGTGGGTTGGCAGAACTTCGCTTCGCCATCGCTCCGGATCGCCGAACCACCCACCACGATCGCTACCAGATCGCCAGATCTGGTCTGAACCGGGACCATTTCACCGCTGGTCCAGAGGGACTACTGGTTGTAAGCACCAATCTTCTTGTAAAGCTAGTTAGACAGAAACCAAAGCAATAAACACAAAAAAATTAGAGGGATGCTTTTGAAAAGATTGTTATGCTTTCTATAATAATACCCATTTATAACCATTTTCTTCCAAAAATATTCATTATTATAGAATGCCATAAATATCATTGAACTTGTACATGAGGTTTGTGTACAAGTCATATTCTTGGTTGAGGAAGAAAGAATTATAATCCATCTTTTTTTAGATGTTTAACGTGACATTTTTAATAACACACTTGAATTACAAAATCTACTCTCTTGACAATTAATTCCTTTGTCCACTTATTCAATGGATTTCCTCATAGGTAATTTATATTTGCTTTTTTTACCTCACACTCATAAGCCCCAACCTTATTGATAACATTTTACCACTTTTTTTTTTAAGGAAGAGAGAGGCATTTTGATAAAACAGTTCTTCCTGTACTAATGGATTCTAATCCTTTTGACTGAAGTGTATGTGACAGAATTGACAATTTTCACTAATGCAAAAGAAATAAATTGAAGATAAATATACTTCCCATTTGTCAAATGTACTTCCCATTTGTCAAAATTTGTCCCATTTGGCTGTTTATTTTTTTTAGCTCTCCAAGCAAATGCAGATATATAGCAATTATGTCTGCTTCTGTATGTTCTTCTTTAGCATGTATTTTTGTAAAAAAAAAAAAAAAAAAAAAAAGAGTTCACTGCTATCTGAAAGAAAACTTGTAGCATGACAAACACCTTTATGATATTTTAGGTCGTAAAAGAGATTATTTATTAGGAAAGAACATTTCACTTTTGCTTTCTGGCTATAATAGTACTGAAATCTGTCTTCCAGTCTCCTGAAAGATTTCCTTCCCTTCAAAGAAGGATTTATTTCAGGCATGGGCATTTTCTGGTAACTGGATGCTTCACTTAACTTTGTTGGTGAATGGAAAGAAAACTGAGATTCCAAAAAAGGGCAGGATAACATCACACATGTGAGTAGGAATGGAACTTGCAGGGTTTTGAAGTGTGACTATCTTATTTTAGCATTTTCTCTTCAGTTTTCATCTGTTCTCCACCTCTAAGTGGTAGGCCACAGTACCCGTGTTGAGCAATTATGTTCAAAGGGAGACATTTTGGGGTTATTTTTGCCATGTGATAGAGAGTGCTGTTATTGCTTTCACAAATTGCATTGTTCTCGATATCTACAAGACAGTAAGCCGGCACTAGTGTGTTGCAAAGATGGAAGAGTGGTTAGGAGATAAACAAAAGCAGATGTGAAACTGCATAATCTTGTCTCTTTACAGCCAGAAAATAGAGGCAGGGTCATATGATTTCCCATTTAGTGTCTGCTTTGCTTAGCAGTGGAATTGCCAGTCTGATTCAGTTGTTAAATGAGGATTGCCTATGCAGTTTTCTCCAAACTGATGCCTTCAGATAAACTGAATATTTTAGTCTAGCTGCTTAGTTACTGTTGTTGTGGGTTGTTATTTGCGAAGTCATGTCCGACCCATCGCAACCCCATGGACAATGTTCCTCCAGGCCAGGGGTGAAATCCAGCAGGTTCTAACAGGTCCCGGAGAACCACCAGTAGCAGAAATTTTGAGTAGTTCAAAGAACCAGCAAATACCACTCTGGGTGGGCCCCAGAGTGGGGTGGGAATGGAGATTTTGCAATATCCTTCCCCCAAATGGGGAGGGAATGGAGATTTTGCAATATCCTTCCCCTGCCACGCCCACCAAGCCACGCCCACAGAACTAGTAGGGAAACATTTTGGATTTCACCCCTGCTCCAGGCCTTCCTGTCCTTTCCCATTCTGTGGAGTCCATTTAAGCTCACACCTACTGCTTCAGCGACTCCATCCAGCCACCTCATTCTCTGTCATCCCCTCCTTCTTTTACCCTCAGTCTTTCGCAGCATTAGACTCTTCTCCTTAGTTATTATGGCTGTGCAAAACCATTTACAAAGCTTTCTTTGAAAAGTAATTAAAAGTTCCTTCTGAATATACTCCTTAAGATATTGAAGCACTAAATTTTGCAGAAGTCGCAGAAGAACCTCTTTGAAGTCCTTCAACAGATGTATGACAAGGACTGTGAATGCCCAGGTGATACTTCTACAAGAATTGCTGCTAAAATGGGGTTGCTCCCAGCACTGCAGCTTTTCTTAAGAGGCAATCTTATCAAAGGATGACACCCATGTAGTCAGTTAATGTGGGGAGGCCCATGAGGTGATTGCACTGAGCATTTCGTAATATGTGATTCAGTGCTTCTGGCAGTGGAACCTGAGGGAAGCTTTGATTCATGAAGTGCTCTTCAAACAGTTCAAAGATACATGACGCATTTTCCCCTTTCACTAAACCGGGTGTGGGCATGGCCAACACGTGACGCATCCAGCCCGCCGGCCCGGGAGTTTCCCCTTTTACTAAACCGGGAGTTTGGCCTGTTCTAGGCCATGTTTTGTCCTCCCACTTTTGCTTACTAATTGGCTCATAATTTAGAGAGCCTTCTGGATTCATAGCTTCTGTTGAGAAAGCAAGTAGCAGCTCAGTCAAGAGGAGCTTTCTCCACTTCACCTGGTGCAGAAGGTCCTGCATCAGAAGGCACTTCTCAGAATCATTGATACCTTATTCACCTGTCATATGAACTATTGCAATGTGTTTTATGTTTGACTCTTGTGAGCTACTTGGAAGCTATAGCTAGTCCAAAATCCAGAGGCTCGGATTCATGTAGTTATGGACACATCTAACTTTGGCCATAAAACACTATTTTGAGAGCTGCCTTTGTTACCAGGCAACTTTCAGTTGCAATTCACAGTCCTGGTTGTCATATTTAAAGATATTTATGCCTTCAAACTTGGATATCTCTGGGATGACTTTCTCTCAATGGATTGTCTTTCTCAAAGCTATTGAGACTTAATAAAATGATAAAAACTTGAATATTTCCATAGGCCTTTTTAGATAGAGGCATATAAATTTTGATTCTTCCTCTTTTATGAGTATTATTGATTACTATTAGCATTTCTTTTATGCTTTCATTAGTAGATTGACATTTCTGCTATTTTAATCCTGTTTATGTATAGTAGAGTTGTAAACTGCGCAGAGCAGCATATAAACTTTTTGAAATAAATACATGTGGAATGCTGTCTTTGAGGAAGTGTACTTGGTATAAACAAATATATTTGGCTGTTTCCTGGAATTATTAAGTACTCCTTTGATCAAAATACTCAAAGTAAGTGTACTTTGGGACATTCATTGTCTTGCAGTCTTCCCTATCATACAGAATTATTGTAGATATAAAATTGAAGAGAGCTCTCAAACCATGAATAAATTCAATATTTAGTCTCTAAATCCTTTATATTATCTAATGAAATTATGGTTTCTGACTTTAGTTACACATAATTTATTTTGCTGCTATTAGGTATGCAAGCAGTCCTTAACTTACAACCACAATTGAATCTAAAATTTATGTTGCTAAGTGACACAGTTAAGTGAATTTTGTTCCATTACCTTACAACTCTTGTTCCAGTTATTAAGTGAATCACTGCAATTGTTAAATTAGTAATATGGTTGTTAAATGATCTGACTTCCCCATTGACTTGGCTCGTCAGAAGGTCACAAAAGGTGATTACCTGACCCCAGGCCATTGCAACCATCATAAATATGAATCAGTTGCCAGGCATCTAAATTTTGATCATGTGATCATGGAAATGTTGAAATAGTCGTAAATGTGAATAATGGTCATAAGCCACTTTTTTCCATGCTGTTGTAACTTTGAATGGTCACTAAATGAACTGTTCTATGTCGAGGACTACCTGCGTTTATTTTTTATCTTTTATAACCTAACTTATAAAATAAATTATAAACAATTCAGTCCCATATATAAACCACACTAAGTTCTGTGGTGCTTATTTTCAGAATCACAGTCCAAGTGATCTTATAGACATTGAGTGATCTGTTTTATATAAGATTTGTGTTGTTAATTCATGCCCTCTTTTTTCTTCCCAGTTGATTTATTACAAAAGTGACACAGTAGAAAAAATAAATCACATCTAATTACATTATAATTGTTTCTATTACCGTATTTCAACTTCATTTAGAGAATCAACCTTCTGTATGTCATTAGATATTTAGAAAGCTTCACAGTGTTAGTTTAGGAAGAGAAATAGCACTGGTAAAACAGATATTGACTTCCAATGCAGTAGTGATTAAAACTGAGTAATTCAGTTCCTTTTATAGCTTTTTTAGCTTTAAGACATATGTTAAGAAAAATAAATAAATGGGGGAAAGTCAGACTTCCATTTCTTTTTCTATAAGTAGAAACTGATTTTGGATCATAAATATTTGCTCGTTTTTTCTTAGCAGATGAATAGGAATAACAAAACCCACGTAATCGTTAGTTTTTAATAAGAACTGTTTAGAAAGCATTATTGATAAAATTATCCTTAATCCTAAGAATTTATAGAGTAGGATTCCAGTTCTGTCTCACCTCAGATTAATTCACTGTTATTAGTTTGTCTAGTTTATATATCTCCCCATTTCACAAAACAAGTGACTATGGGCTTTAGACATTGTGGTTCCTTCAGAACATAAAGCTGGAAGGCACCAAGATACTAAGTTTAAGAAAAATTCAAAGATTGATATCTTTCTTATAATATGGTTCTCTTAATCCTAGCACTGTATGATACTAATGTGTTTTTCTTTGATTTCTTTTTAGTAACTGTGTCAGGAGCATCTTGTGGTGGTTTTCTTGGATACCCATCAGGATCATTTAAAAGTCCATATTATCCTTCTGACTATCCAAACAATATGGACTGTGTATGGGAAATACAAGTTAAAAACAACTACCAAATAAGACTTACATTTCAGAATTTTTTGTAAGTTAAAGCTGTTTTTAATGCATGCATCACAATACCAAGACTGGTTTATTAAATAGATCAAGATGAGTTCAAATTACAGAGCGCATTTTTCAAAATGCAATCGGATTGTAAACTTGAGGTAATGGATTTGGCTAGAAGTAATTAGTTAAGCCATCATAGAACTTTAGCTCTTTTTAAGGACAGAAAAATAGGTCCAGGCTCCACACATGGAAAGGAACTCATCTAAAGTTTGATCCAATGTTTGAAATGTTTAAATGGACCAATCAATTTTTGTTTCAGTCTCTAAAAATAATTAATATATGAAAATAATTTCAATAATTTCTATCTACTGCACTATACAAAGTCACCTGACAAAAAGTATTGAGAAAGGATGTGGTAAGAGGAGGAATGCTTAAATCAACATGCAGTCTTTGATTTCTCAAATCGTAAAAGGTCCTGTTAATCCCTATTCCTCAGTATCTTTTTTGTTCTTTTAAAGTAGCAGGGAGAACTTCATGAAATAGTTAATATGATTTTCTGGAAGAGGAAAGAATTTCTGGAGTTTTACCCATTCCAAAATATTTTCTCAGAAAAAGTCTATCCAGTTCCATGTTATTGGACTAATATGTCAGTGTTATATATTCAAGTTTTGTGCCAAGTACATTAACATTTTTATCCAAATTATTGTTTGTTATAAATTGTCATCCTTATCACCGCCAGCAGCATTGCTGAATAATCAATTTCACCAGTTGAAGAGAATTGAAAACTGCTACCTTATATGAATTGGGAAGTTCCAAATTATGTCTCCTTTTACTGAGACTAATCTCAGAGAGAATTTTACTACCTAACACACACAAAATAAAGCTTATCTCTTGGAGTATTGGAATAAATGTATGAATTACAAATTGAACAGTATCTATGTAAACACTATACTCCTGTCTTGCTTTCCAGGCTAGAAGAATGTGATAGATTCAGATGTGCTTGTGATTATGTTGAAATCTATGATGGACCTCTCCATACTGCCTCACTGCTTGGGAAAATTTGTTATGGCTACTATTCCACTTTTACATCAAGTTCCAATATGATGACAATTAAATTCCATAGTGATAGTAGTGTCACAAGAAGAGGCTTCCTTGCAAACTATTACAGCTTCTCTGCAGATCAAAACACAAGTAAGTATAATGTTGTCATTCACTTTTCATTTACTGACCTTTTGAATATTATTTAGAATTTCACGAGAATTCTTTGCATCTTATTCAAACTTGGCATAATGAGACAGTTTTTAATTCTTCCTTTTGGTATACCCTGATAGAGGGTTTGTAAGGTAGAATAGTTTTGAACCAGATACCTATAAGCATGCTCAATGGTACCTACAGACTAGATAGTTGAACAAAATGTGAATATCCTTGAAATAAGGAACTGTGTAGTTCCATACAACTAAAATTTATATTCTAGAGTGGCTATTATGTGATTTTCATGTGATCTAACAGCTAACTTCAAGCCAAAATTCAGAAGCTGATTCTTAGCAAAGTTTTTCAGGTCTTTTGCTGTACTGTGATAATAATGCCATGAAAAATAATTCAAATTCCAATTAATCAACATAGTGTTAGTTATTGATTATTTGAGATTTCCGTTTATGTGCTTCAGAGAATAAGCATTTTGGGCATATAATTCCCCTTCAGTTTTTGAGAGACCTTTAAGAATGGAGTTACATATAAAAGAAGTCAAGCAAAACTATACCCAATTAGTTCAATATCCTGATGTAGATATGGGTGGTGTATGGGGGGCAAGATCCAGAGGCTGTTTTTTTATGGTTGACTGGAAAGCATCTTTCTGGCATGCTTTCAATTTAAAGCAAAAGTTATTAAGCTGCAGAATATGTAAAATTATTTGGCAGGCAACATTTTGTTATTTTGTGCTGAGATGGCATTAGATTCATAAAGTAAGCATAATAATAAATTATTGCCATACTGTATGTATTTCAGTGCAGCAATAAGATTTCTTTTTTCTCCTTGGCAGCTCTTGTTTGTCAGCCGACCTATATGGAAGCTGCAATTAGTAGAAGTTATCTGAACTCTCAAGGCTATAATCCATGGAGTGCCAGCTTGATGGATCCAAATTGCAGACCGAGGATCACACCATATTCTGTTATATTCAACATACCATATAATGGCTGTCGGACCAGAAGAGATGTATGGAGACTTCTTAGAATGTTTTTGCTGCATGACTCACTCATTCATTAATTCTTTCATTTTTTCCTTCAAGTAGAAGTAGGAGGCATTCAATCATTCAGGGATTTATTTAGGACAATGCTCCAAATTGAAATGTGTTTGTGACAAATAGCAGGAGCTCAAAGCACAATGATTGATAGGACCCATTTTCTCCTCTGTAGCCAATCATTTCTCTATTTTCTTAGTTGTACTCTCAGTGTAGCTCAGTTTTTCATGGACGTTTTGAATATGGGAATGCCTTCTGGTCAACATCTATTGGCACAGTCAATATTTTTATAACATCTGTAACATGATTGACCAGATAAAAAGGATCTTATATCAATTGTTTCATGTTTCAAACAGGTTGATGCCGATACTATTACATATTCAAATGAGATCTCAGTAATTGCCCCTTCACAACACTTCATAAGAAGGATACCAGATCTTCTTGTGCATGTCAACTGCAAGATGCTTCAACACACCTGGATAGAGACAATGTATATCGCTCAGCAAACCAAAGAGATTAATGAAACGCAATATGGCCAATATAGTGTGAATCTTACATTTTATGACTCATCCTTCTGGAAACCAGTGAACGATATACCTTATTATGTCGTATTAAATCAAAGGTTATATTTGCAAGCTTATCTCTATAGTTCCGATTCCAACCTGCAGCTGTTTTTGGATACTTGTACAGCATCACCCAATTACGATGATTTTACAAAACTAACTTATGATATTATCAAGAATGGGTAAGGACTTCATCTTTTTTCAGGCTATTTGGTTTTGTGGGAAAATGTGGGAATACATTAATTTTGATTGCTTTTAGTTTTCGAAACATCTATGCGGTATAGTTATTTGGTAGTTAAAATATGGCCAATCCCACTGGGTAGATCAGACCAGAAACAATATTCACAATCCCATTGCAATTGTGTCTTCATGTCAATAGGATTCTCTCCCTCTCTTTTGGAGTTTGCATGTAATATAATTCTAGGAGTTTTGAGGTTTGCGTGTAACGTAATTCTGCATAACATTATGCTGGGCCAAAAGTTCTAGAAAGATTGCACTGTTATAGTAGACCATATCTAACAGGAAACTATTTGTAATACATTTGAAATCTCAGGATCATTCTGACCTTAGAAATTCTCCCTCACCCCATATAGGAGAATAGTGGTTTGTCCCTGATTTGTGTTAAATTTTCTGCAGAGGATTCACTTTTGCTATGGGTTTGAATGTGGTAAGCCACAAAAGTGTTAGTAATACCATTCCCATCTACCAGCTTACTTCCTTCATGATGTAGCTCACCGTTCTACTTTCCATCTCTGTTCTGCTAACTGTTATACATACAACAGGCAAAGGCTTAAAGCTTAAACCAAAGGCCCTTTCATTGGGAATACACATGCTAATTATCCAGGAATCCTGAGTTCCAGTACTCTAGAAAGTTCTGGGCCTTTTGCTAAAGAGATCCAGATAGCAAAGATTCTCATTTGTTCACCTCTCTCTCTCATTCTCTCTCTGCTTTTGCTTTCCTTTTGTCTAATTTAACCAGTTAACTGTTTTTAAAGTAGCTATATTTAAACCAGGAATATGCAACCCAAGATCCTCAAAATAACAGATGACTCTTGAATTATATATATTTTTTTCTTGTAGATCATCACATATTGTTATCAGACTGTCATTTTTAATGCCACAGAAGGAAAATTCTTTAAGGCACTTATTTACATCAACCTTCTGTGTCCATTAAATCAAGTCAAACACAATTCTGGCTTTCTTCAGCCACTACATCTTGGAGTACAGTCTGTAGCATGCTGCCAAAGGGCCATCTGTGGATTTTGACCTTAAAGAATTTAATTACAGCAATATATTTATTTCCTTGAGATTAAAATCAGAAGACATTCCAGTGACATGGGTTGCACATGAAACTTTTATTCATTTCTGAAACCAAGGCTCTGCAGTGTTCCTTGTTCCTGGTAAATAATTCTGAATCAGAATATATGTGTATTGACAAATCATTTGGCAAGTAGTTTGGATAGTCTTTTGCATCAAAGTTAAGGTTTACTTGTTCTGACCTGGCATTATGTCTATTTTGAATTGACATTATAAAGATCAAGTTGATATGAATCTTTTATTTTTCTTGAGAAAACAAAGTTTTAAAATTGAAAGAACAGTAAAAGATCATATGCTAAACAATAGCCAGAAGCAGTGGCACTTAATCAGAGCTTTCATTTATGCCTTCAGGTTGGCAAACCAGAGCATAATTTTTATATGCAACCTAACCATGGTTATGATATTCTTGTGGTCTGATGAGACCAAAGACTCTAAATCATATAGGGTAAATTTGAATTATGAGTGGAGCTTGATTCTTGGTGAACCTATTGACCTATCCATGCAGTTTTCTCTGAACAATACCAGCAGGCCAAATCTTGCTTAGTTTTCTGAGATCAGTCAAGCTTGGCTAGTTTTTCCACTTAGCTTAGCAAATGGGATAAAAAGCAGCCTAAGAAGATTAATAAAATACATGAAACAAGATTATAACATAATAAACAGGACTGTGATTTAAATTTTGTGCATAGCAATAATTAATAAGTGAAAACTTTGGTCCCTCTGTACAATGTCTCAATTACTCAAAGCTGGTTTTCTTTCCCTAGAAAAATATTAATTGTCTTGATTTCCCCTGAAATTCTGTACTACTTGCAAATGTCATTGAGGATAGCAGCGACTAAAAGATATTGTAAATAATGATTTTCATAAGTTGATTTATGTAGTTTGATGATAGTCATCTCCTTTATCTGGTCTGAAATGAATACAAATTTATTTAATTAGATGACATTTGCAGTTATAGTGATGGTTTCCTTGTTTTTTGTTGCCAAAGCATGTTCAGCATTTCTAAATATTAACAATTCAAATGTGATAAATAAATACCATACTACGTCTGAAATATTGGAGGTATTTATCGGGATGAATGGCATCCAAGAAAGGGGATGTCAAAAGAGGCAAGAAAACAATCGAGACCCTTTTGTAATGCATCAAAATCACAATAATACTCTTGCTTGTTTTGACTTCCCTTGTCATAGATGTCAGTGCTGGAAATCAAATAAAGTCCTATTTTTCATATTCAGATGTTTTTAAGACTTTCTCAGAGAAAGTTCATTAGTTGGGGACTAACATTAGATGGATTCAATCGGATGTATCAATATTATACAGGATCAGGGGTGGGTTCTACTTACCTTTACTACCGGTTCACAACGGGATCGCTTCTGAGCATGCACAGATCACTGATGATGACATCCAGGGTGGTGGGCGGGGCCTCCCGCCGGTTTTACTATCAGTTCTTGTGAACCGGTCCGAACTGGGGGCAACCCACCACTGTACAGGATGCTATTTTTTTTTTTTAGTTCCATACACAGCACATTCATTGCATTTGGGTTATTTTAATGTGAAAATTATAGAAAATAAATTGTATAAATTAGAATATAATAACTGGCATGCTAATTAATGCCAATAAATCTTCCTTTATTTTGTTTTCATGCAGGTGTATTAAAGACTCTACTTATCAGACTCACTACTCCCCATATAGAAACATTCTTCGCTTTTCCTTCCAAGCCTTTGCCTTCATGGACAGGCACCCATCAGTTTACCTGCAGTGTAAAGTGGTGGTTTGCAGCTCCTATGACTATTACTCAAGATGTAATCGAGGCTGTCTGCTCCGATCCAAGAGAGATACAGGCTCCTATCAGGAAAACATAGATGTCATTATTGGGCCCATCGAACTTGTGAAGGATGGTGTTCAGAATAGAAACTTTGGTAAACTGAAAACTTCTTTCATGGTTCTAAAAATAATCAGTGCCACCCAGTTCTTTCACGATGATAGAGCAAGTAGCATGAAAAACTGGGAGAATTGCTAGGAAGCAAGAAATAATTTGTAATTACTGACTATAACTACAGTTCTGGTGACCTGAGTGCTCTGCCAGTGAAAACGGACTCCCAAGTTCCTTTTCGAGTTCCATTTTTGCTAGCAGAGGCACCGCAGGCTGGTCCTTTGCTGTTTCCAGGGTGGCCCCATGGGCCAGATCTAAACATCCTACGGGCAGAATCCAGCCCCCAGGCCTTGAGTTTGACCTTCCTGTTCCTGATAAATAATTTTCAGTCCAGTTATAAGCATATTGGCTTATGATTAATTGACCACTAATTTCTAGGATATTTTTTGATCACAGTTCAAGTAGATGATGTACCATCATTTTCTTCTGATTTTTTTTTTTAGAAGCAAAGCCAGAAGCCCAGGAAAATTTGACAACTTCTAATTCCCATGTACCTTACATTGTTGCTGCTGCTGTCCTTGCGGTCGTTGCCATGACTCTTGCAGGAATTATTCTGAAAAACAAGTGGAAAAGATCAATTCCATATGAGATAATGTGAGGACTTAAAATCTTGTGTTATAAACCAGTGCTGAATTAATTGTGATGAACTTAATTATTGGATGGAGAGTATCCTTAACAGCAACATCAGTATTTCTCTGATATATTAACATTCTTGTAATTTACGTTGATTTTGCTTTTACATTAAAGTTAAGAACTAGAAAACAAGGACTTGAAAAATTCATTACATTTATAGTAGCAACCTGAAGAATACATTTCAATGGCAATTTGTTATATTCTTGAACACGCTGTCTAGACTGAAGGGATGAGGGCTGGAATTTCATCCCATATAATGTGGTTTAAATGTCTCTTCAGTCCTTCCCAGTCCAGGGCAAACTAGGCAACAAGCACCTCTGTTCTCTTTATTCTTGCTATTTAACTAAATAAACTGCAATTTCACTCTAGCCGGAAGCTTGTTTCTGAACGTTCTACAATTTTTATCAAGTTATCCCCAGTCTGGCTAGTTTAACTCTACTATCAACTGAGAAAAAAGTGTTGAAATAGAAGGTATATTTTCATTACAACTGTACAATGTGAGAAATATTTATTATACTGATAATTAGTTCATATTAAGCAAGACACAAGTTGCAACCAAGATCAGCAAATATTTCCATGTTGTCCTCCAAAGTGGCCCAACCCAAAATATAATAGTACAGCTGGGAAATTATTAATCAAGTACAATAGCAACAAGAAAATCTTGATGCATTTTTGCGAACTGCCAAGTATTTCTAGTGATTCAAAAAAAATTCAGGAAAAGTAGTCTAATGGTTATTTCTCAAAGAACAGCATGGCCAGCTATTCAAATCTTTTGCCAAGAGTCAAAGTTTGATCAGATAGTCCCTCAAGGCAACCCACAGAGCTGTACTCTTCACAGAACAACACTAGAAAAGTTTTTTTTTAAAAGTTAAGTTGAAAACTCTTTAAAATATGAAAAATGTGTGGTTTTCCAATGTATGTCCTGTAATATTATGGTTATTTATTCAGCTGACTAAAAAGATGCATACTTAGATGTTCCTGGATCCTGGTAAGAAATGGGTATGGAGAGTATAATAATTATATTATTGGAAACACATACTTGAATATAATCCATAGCACCCCTGGAAGAACTAGACAGAGTGAAAAAAACAAGAATGCTATACCAATAAAGGAGAATATTTGTAGTTCAGGGTTGAAATTAGGTTTCCTCAGTGCTCTCTGAGCTTGGTTGTTTTCTTGAAGATATTTCATTAATCCAAACTAGGTAACATTATCAGCACTGATGATGATATCTAGTTTGAATAATGAAATGTCTGTAAGAAAACATCCAAGCTCAGAGAGCACCTAGGACCTCTCAAGGATGTTAAAAGTAGGTGCAAAGTTGAAAAGGAAAGAATTTCTTTATCCCTGCTGAATTTAGATATGTATATTTTTAAGCAGGCCTCTGTCCAATAAATGGAGAATGTTCATAAATAAAAATACTCCTATACTGCAAATCTCAGTGGTTTGTCAAATATAGAAAAGGAGAATAAAGTCTCAGACATCATTCTTCCCTGTTCTTTAACAACAGCTTTAAGAGTGAAATCATAGGAATTGATGTATAGTGAAGTCCTGTTTCAAGAAGCAGGGTGTCTGTTTTCATTTCAATGCATTTAAAGTTAGTTTTCCATTGTTAGCTTTTATTGAAGTGGTCTCCTGCATTTCACTCAACAACCTGTTTAAAACATGTTACACATATTGACAACAATATGCTGAATAGCAAAGGATAAATACACTTACAGAATTAAGCAGAACTATCTATAAGATATTTGGAAGTTGATTCATGGCAACTGGATTTCTTTTCCTGTTGGTTCAAAACATTTTGCTGCTTATCTAAGTAGCTTCTTCAGTGTCAATAAGACTGAAGAAGCTACTTGGATATGCAGCAAAATGTTTTGAATCAACAAGAAAAGAAATCCAGTTGTCATGAATCAACTTCCAGACTACTCTACCTGGATGACTGAGAATTTTCATCAACATATCTAGAAGATATTTTTTAAGTTGTGTTTAAAATGACCAGAGATTGGCATTCCTTGGTTGCATGTGTACATCAATATGGTTCACCATAACTGACCCTTACTATGCTCACATTCATGTGGATGAAGAGAAACTAGTGAATTTCCTTGTAAATATTTATTTTGCAGACACTATTGCTGATAAAGGTTAGTTTGTTTTAGATTAACAAATTTGCTTGAGTGATTTCTCATTTCTTCTTTGGTACTTGAAGTGCCAAGGCCTTGACTTCTCCTTGAACTGCCTGCAAACCTCTTCCTTATTTATTCATTAAGTAATCATACAGTTTTCCATTCTTAGTTTTATGCACGACCTTATCTTTTCCATGCCAACATAAGTATGTCTTACATCTTTGCCCTACTTAGTTCTTGGCTTCAAATAATTGTATTATTGCTACCTCTTCCTTGATTTAGATTATAGTTTTCTCTGCCTTTACATTATATCCATTTGATGAATGGATGAATACTTAGAGAATATGCACAAGTATCCATAGGCATGGTTGGGATTAATAGGATCTGCAAATCTTTGAGAAGAAACTTTAGTTCAATGAATCTGGGATTGAATTACCCTACAGAATCAGAGTTCAGTCACAGCAGAGATCACTCTGAATATCACACCATATAGCTGTGTTGAAATCAATAGCAATTTGAATTGCTATAAGGACTCAGCAGCTTTAATTCTTCTTCTTCTGAGTTTTTTGTAGGCAATATAAACATTGCAACTTTATTTCCATGGATGGAGAATGTTCTTGGACATGAGCAGCTACTAGCTGATTAATTATTTTATTTCTCTCAAATTATTTAAGAGATTAAAATTGTTTTAAGATTATTTGTATTACTTGTAAGATTCATTCCTGAATTGGAACGTTTCAGGGAAAACCAGAACATCTTTTGTTTATTCTGGAATATGCTGATCTCGTTATTCTGAGGTTACTCTGAAGATTTTTAGAAGTTAAACTTCTAGAATAGAATAGAATTGCAGTGTTTTGGACATGCTCTGTCCATGAAACAGGACATTTCAAAATGTTACACGTAGAACACCACATCTCCATCCTTATCTGGAAGAACTAATTCTGGAAAACAAGTCACAATTCCTGGAATAAATGGACCAAAGAATTCTAAGGAAGAAGGACGATATTGAGTGTTTAGTGTTCCCTAGAAAGTTCTATTTCAAAATGATGAGCTCTCCACATTGTCTAGGGTTGGACGGTCAATAAATTTAAAAATCAATGTTTTTTCAGCTCTTAATTTATTTAATATGGCCTGCTATGTATCTTTGCTTTTGTTAGACCTAATGGAAAATTACCATTCCCAACAAAACAACTGAGAATTAATCTTAACTGTGATTGTTTGGAGTAGATTTAATTCTCCTAAGAATAAGTGCTTTATTAACTCCTATGGACAGTGACCCAAAGTGTTTTTAAGAATTGAGGAGGGATTCAGAAGGCGTCTGAATGCCACTTTCTCTATGTCAACTTCTTTCTTTCACTGAGGCTTCCTACCTTTGTAGTATTGTATCTCAACATGTAAGATGGATCTACGAACTAACACAAAAAAATTTCCAGGAAATCACAGCTGTGTATTAAACTATTCCTGCAAGCAAAGAATGGATTTATACCAGAAAAGCCAAAACGTGCCAAATAGTTTTGACTACCTTTTGTGAGCACACAGAAAACACAAGGATATGATGCCACAAAACAATATCAAAGACAAGCAAGTTGTCACTTTTTAATGTTGTGCCAAGTGCAGCATCGTAAAAAAGAAAGTAAGGGGGGAAGTAAGAGTTTACTTATAATACATTTTTTAAAACTAAGAATAAAAACTTATCTGCAGTAGTCCAGCACAATTTGGTAGGCTATTTGGATATGCTTCACAGTCCTTTCTTTAGCCCTGCTATCTCAGCCTTAGATAAGATATAAGGTAAATGTTGAACAGAACAGAACAGAACAGAACAGAACAGAACAGAACAGAACAGTCAAACTCAAGGCCTGGAGGCCGGATCCGGCTCACAGGGTGCTTAGATCTGGCCTGCAAAGCTGCCCTGGAAACAGTGAAGGACTGGTCTGTGGTGGTTCTGCCAGTGAAAACGGAGCTCAGGAGCCCGTTTTCGCTGGCAGAGAACTCGGGCCTCCACAGGCACCTCCGACACAGGTGATGGTGAGTTAGTCATGCCCACCCTAGCCATGCTCACTCTACCCCTCCCCCCCAAGGTAAAACACAACCCTAATATGGCCCTCAATGAAATCAAGTTTGACACCCCTGGAATAGAATATTCTTTATTGGCCATGTGCGATTAGACACACAATAAATTTGTCTCTGGTGCATAAACTCTCAGTATATATTCAAGCAACAAAGTAATAAATCAAAATCATAATATATAATTATAAATCTATCTATCTATATCTCTATATCTCTATCACCTATCACATATATCTATCACCTATCCCTATCACCTGACTATCTATCTATCTATCTATCTATCTATCTATCTATCTATCTATCTACTAGCTATCTAGCTATCTAGCTATCATCTATCTTTATCTACTTCAGTGAAATAGTCTAATATACTCTGATGCTTGGCAGGGTTACTGTCCCGTAAAGGGAGCACTTTCCTAGATATCTTCTTTCTATCAAAAACCAAAAATGAAATATTTAAAAATAAGGTGGCTGCAAATATTATGATACTTTTCCATTATAGCCTATGGCTGGTTTCTTCCCTCCCCCTTAATTTAATTTCAAAGTGATTTCAGGATTGATAATCACAGTTAACCAGGATTAATATGGAACAACATATTATGCTCTGAGAAAGTTCTGAGGTTTGCAATGATACAACCTTATTTGTTTTGAATTATTAGGTAGCTACTTTCTTGGTTTCCAAACATTAGAGCCTGTTTGATCCAGTGGTTAAGATACCAGGCTAAAAACAGAAGTGTGAGTTCTAGTTCTCCCTTAGAGATGAAAGTCAGGTGGTGATTTTGGGCCAATCACTCTTTCTCATCTCACAGGACTCTTCTAGGAAAAATGGGAGGGGGAAAGTGTACTAGCTATGTTCACCACCTTGAGTTTTTTATAAACTGTAAATAAAATTTATAAATTTATTTTTAAAAAATAAAAATGGATTGATACAAGAAACAAGGACTGAAATAAATATTTGATTTATTCTATTGGTACTGATTACTATTTCTCCATAGTCTGCTCTCTTAGACAAGATCAAATATGGGGAAGGATGAAATGATACACTTTTAAAAAACAAGTAATACAAGTTCTATCTATGGGACTGTATACATATCCTCATCAGCCTGAATAGGATATTGAAACCTGGGCAACAGTCACCCAGCTTAGTATGGGTCCCACTCATTTCCACATTTGCTGTGGTGAACCCCCCTCTTGGAGGCACTTAGAACTTCTGGTGACTCTCATAAATCCCTGGAGGAGTCTCCATTGAGAGATGACCTGAGGTATCATGTATAAAGCCAGTTCTGGGAACTCTGCAAATGAAGGTTTAGGGTCAGATTGCAGTGAGACACAAGGTCTCAGTGAAAAATTGTTAAACTCAGGCAGTATAGGCATTTGAATGTTTAAACCAGAAATATAGTAATATAAGTATATGTTCATGAATGAACTTCCATATTTGTTGGCAGCTAGAATTAGATCATATCCCAGGAACTCTGGTTTTATAAATGCTCAATGACCAACAGCCAATGTTGGATCAAAGTCTATACCAGGGGTCAGCAACCTGCGGCTCTGGAGCCACATGCGGCTCTTTGGGCCCTCTGCTGTGGCTCCCTGTCAGGTGATCCAACCATTGGCTGGTCCCGCCCTTCACCCTTCCCTCCTAGTCACTCCTCGCCTGGCCTGAGAAGGTAAGGGCAATGGCAGGGGATGGAAAAGCGGCCAGGGCAGAAACAGAAAGATACAGAGAGAGGGAGAGGGAGGGAAGGAGGGGAGAGAGAGAGATGTCAAAAGGATTGTGTGGTTCCTAGTGTTTTTTAACAACTGGTTCTCTGCCCTAATGACTGGCAGGGTAGGCATGGCTGGTGGGGGGAGGGTCATGTGACTGTTGGAAGTGAGTAACATCGAGTTGGCCATGCCCACCCAGGTTTTGTGGCTCCCAGTGTTTTCTTTTTCTGTGGGAAACGGATCCAAATGGCTCTTTGAGTATTTAAGGTTGCAGACCCCTGGTCTATACAATAGTATTTGATCATGTTTTGTAAACTTTATTTGTTTACTGTATTTATTTACTCACTGACTCACTCACTCACTGAAGCCTTTTCTCTACCCTGTTTTCCCGAAAATAAGACACCTCCTGATAATAAGCCCAATCGGGCTTCGGAGCGCATGCGCTAATATAATCTTCCCCCTAAAAATAAGTCCTCCCTGAAAATATTTAAACGCAGAGCTGGAAATCAGGTAAGACTGCAAGAGGAGCACCCTCTTGCTCCATGCGCCCCAGAATAATAAGACCACCCTGAAAATAAGGCCAAGTGCTTATTTCGGGGTTCAAAAATATATAAGACAGGGCCTTATTTTCGGGAAAACACGGTAAACTCTCAGACTAACTGTATAACTAAGAATACTTCTAGCCAGGAAGGCACACACCCAAAAATCTCACTTAAACCCAAAGGAGAACTTTTTTTTTTTTTTAATTTGATTTATATGCCGCCCTTCTCTGGAGACTCAGGGCGGCTTACAATGCGTTAAGCAATAGCCTTCATTCTTTTGTATATTTTATACAAAGTCAGCTTATTGCCCCCACAAACTGGGTCCTTATTTCACCTACCTTAGAAAGGATGGAAGGCTGAGTCAACCTTGAGCCTTGGAGAGATTCGAACCAGCATAAATTGCAGGCAGCTGTGTTAATAACAGGGTGCACTAAACCCCTGTACTATCAAGGCTCTTTGCTGTTTTTCATCATGCATTGCTTCTAGAACCACAGCAGAGCTACTTCCCTTGTGTTAGCAGCATTGAATGTCTCATCAAAGCTATGCCTAATGCAATGGCTGCTTTCATAATCAGACAGTCTGCCGACTTTCTCAATACAATGTTTATGGAGGAGCAAATCTGGTTACAGATACATTGAAAGAGCTGTTCTAAGAAACTGATTGGGATGATATAGGCTGATGGAGGGTCTTTCCTAGCTTGACATCTTTTTCAGTTTGTGACTCAGACTGACCACTTTATTTTGCTTAATAGCCAGATGATTTGACTCTCACAAAACTTGTGTGCAAACTACCTTGGGTTCAATCTCTGCCTTCAAATTCCTGTGGGTGTTTAACTGTATTATAATCCTGATTTTGCTAGCAGCCAAAATACCTAATTCTATTGCTACCTCTGAGATAGGACAAGGATGGGGGAAGAATGTGCATTCCTCTGCCCCTTGGAGTATATAATTCAATAAATCCTGTTAGGTTCTAATGCCTAAGCAGGACTTACACAGAATGCAGCCTCGGTGAGGTATGACAAAATGAAAATGATCTACTTAAGGTGAGTCTAGGAGAATCTCTGAAAATTCTCATGCATTTTCACAAAATAAATATGAAAGTCCTTAAAATAGCAAAAATGGTTTGTAATACAGATTGGAGTATTTTGGACTTTAAAAAGAAAAAAACCAATTTCTTTTGAGCACACTGAAGTAATGTCAGGAGTCACATTCTACAATGCAGCTGAAGGAAAATGTCCTCTTTAAGATGTGGTAACTTCCAAACATGCCACAATTTTATAATACCCTTTGATATGGAGAATGTTCCCATTTATGCATAGTAGTTAGGAGGATTTTTGGTGTTCTGTTGCAATTCATTTGATACCACCTCAAATCCATAGATTTTTGCCTGCTTTCTTCCTGGAAAATATCTCTTACCAAAAAAAAAAAGAAGAGGAAATAGGATGACAAATCTGGGCTTCATTTTCAAGACTGTTTACACAATAAACAGTATAAAGTATTAAAGAAGTATAGAAATTAAAAGATAAGGAAAATGCCATTTGTATGCACCTATAATGTTGGCACAGTTTAACAAATATTGTTTGGCATCTTGAAGTATTTCACTTCCTTTTCATCTGCACTGTTGAAAAAAATGCAGATCAAGTTTCAGATTCTGCAGTGTATATATTCACAGGTGATCCCTGCCACAGGATTACTGTTTTAAATTCTTCTGGAATCTTCTCCTGAGATGGATCACACACTGATCTTTCTTGGGGTGCTGCTACTTTCAGCCACAGGTAATATGCTGGGTTTGATGTGGGTGAAGAGATACTTGGTACCAACAAAGGAGAATATTTGTAGCTCAGGGTTGAAATGAAGGGTCCTTGGTTCTCTTTGAGCTTGGTTGTTCTCTTAAAGATGATTTATTAGCCAAACTAGGTAACATCATCAGTGCTCAGAGAGTTCAGAATGTTTATCAGTGCTCAGAGAGTACCAAGGCATACTTATTTCATTCTCTCCATATACAAGGTTGGAAATGAGCTAAATAATAATGAAGAACTGAAAAAAATAGGCTATTTAAATATTTTAAAGCAATGACTAGTGTCTACTGCAGTTTTCTTGGGAACATTATGGATATTTCTTTCAGAGATTTTTCCTCCTTCCTAATTGAGCTAAAAGCCATAGGATTAAGAGATAATCCCTAGGCAAGTACTGGACTGGTTCTGACTATGAGTCTCCAAAATCAGCTAAGGTTCCATAAGTCTACTTTCTGGGACAGTTATGATTTATTGAAACCAATTTCATCAGAGGGACTATAAAATTTGGTCTACAGGTTATGGGTAGACTTGATATTTAGCTAACGTTAGTAATAATTAAACTAGTAATTACTTTACTAAGAAATAACTAAATAGCAGAAATTGAATTGAGACACTTGAATGGAATTAAGTTATGAATTTCACTGAAAGCAGAAGGACAAGATAGACCCGACTAACTTGTTTGCTTTGATCATTGTCTCAGTTTTGTGATTCTATCAGCACGACCCACAGACTACTCAATCCATCATATTTTCCCTAAAAGAACATTTCTGGGAAATATATCGTCAGTATAAGATGCAGTCAGGGTAGCTTTTCCAGTTTTATGTAATTAAAAAGTCATTATAAGGCTAGGGGTTTTCCTAACTTAGTAACAGATTTAAGCACAGCTTGTTGCAAGTATATTTACTGATTTCTGCACATTCTGATTTCTTCTTACAATAGGTGATGGAATAAAAAATGTCTAACTAAAAATCAATGAAACCAATGATTGTTTCAGCCAATGTAGTACTAATTTCTCAGCCCAATGTTGATTAAACCTTCCTTCCTTCCTTCCCTCCTCCCTTCCTTCCTTCCTTCCTTCCTTCCTTCAATAAATGATAATTACATTGAAATATAATTTGATCTAAATTATTATCCTAAAAAACCCACAAAGTCACAAACTTGGGAATGATAGCAAAATTAGGAGCTAAGATGTAGCTGGAATGGGGTAAGATGTTAGAAAAAATATTGGTCAGCACTTGAAAGGTCTTCTTCTTACCGTATGCCAGCAGATGGTGATAAGATGGCCCTATGCCATACACGTAGCAAAAATGTGAAATAAAAATGCACTTATGCTTAAATGCCACATTTTATCATATAAGTGACTGTCCTTATTTTAGCAATGTAAATACAGTTTTTTTCTATTTTTTCTATTATTGCCTAATGTAAAGAATGAACCTCCATGCAGCTACTTGGGGTTGGATGAATACCATGCTTTTGGTTCCCCATTCAATAGATCAGATGCAATATGATTAAGGCTGATGCCTTAAGAACTGCTGTGTAAAGATAATGAATCCAGGAATAAAAACATCTTAGAATGATTTGGGCCCATTTTAGGATTTGTAATTAAATTATGAGACATTCTATATATTTTTTTATTTTACTCAAGATATATTTGTAAGAATGGTTAAAATATATAAAAGACAAATGAAATTAAATGGATCAAGTTAATAGAACAAAAATTATATACATTTCAGAAATATGTGTATTGCTTTTCCATGGATATTTACCAATTCTGATTTTATTGTAAACTGAAATGCCATAAGTTTCTTCAACTCAGTATCCATCTAAAAGTCTTTGAATAAACATTCCAATCATTTCTAGCCAATAAGAATTATTATGCTAGATAGGAGAAGAATATTTTACCTAAATTCTGTGTCTTTCCTAATTGGAAGGACTCATTCATTTATTACTATTTACAGGATAGGTTTATAATTCCTACAACAATAGATGCTGATAAATTACAACACAGGAGTGTCAAACTTGCGTCATCACAGCGTCATCGCGTGACATATCATGACTTTTTCCCCTTTGCTAAACCATCCAGTCGCATCCTGTCCATGGGCCGCAAGTTTGACACCCCTGCTACAATAGATATCACATGCAAAACATCATATCTATATTTAAACACTAAGATATAAAGCCAAAAAAACAGTAATTATTTAATAACCATTACCAAGATTCAAAGTGGATTGATCCATGGCATAATTGGTATAAAACAAATCTCACACTATAATCAACCAAATGTTTAATTTGGAAATCTTCAGCTATCGTTCTCAATATGTGAGTTTGTATTTACACAATAAAGAAAACAATATTGTAAGGTTTGCTATATTCTTGAGTGAATATAATAATTTCTACATTTTCAGAATGCTTTATATTACAGTGTAAAATACCAGGGACATCAGAAAGTAAACAGACATTGATTCCTATAGCTCAAATGTAGTAGATAGTTCTACATCTAGAAGTAAAGTAGGTTAGCCTAAATTCCACACAATTACACAGTCAGTCAACTCCATAGGTCCTACCAAACGCCATTTTGTTTTCCACTTATTATTTAGGCTACTGCAGAATATTAATCTGGGAAGAGTATCTATGTAATCAAGAGATTGATTTACAATACATAAGTGATTAAGAATACCCAATATATATGTCCCAATATTTATTTATTTATTTTATTCAATTTGTATACCACCCTTCTCCTAGTGGACTCAGGGCGGTGCACAGCCAGAACTAAAACACATACCACTACAAAATTTAAAATTATTAAAAGAATTACATAACTGGCCCAAATTTAAAACAATTCGAATTAAAACCCAATGACAATTTAAAAACTAAAAAACTAAAAAAGACTAAAAATGGGGGGGGGGGGGAGTTCACGCCAGCCCTGCTTGATGGAAAAGAAAAGTTTTCAGGGCACGGTGAAAGACCCGGAGATCCGATATCCTTCGTATCTCCGGGGGCAAATCGTTCCGGAGGGCAGGAGCTGCCACAGAGAAGTTAAGCATTACTTAGAATTCCCTTAATATTTTTCAGATGATATGAGCCTTACTTTGGATTCTGGCTGGATGCAAATAAGAAGAATAAATAGCTAAATAAAGGGCAGGAAATGCATAAAGGGCAAATGTTAAGACTGGATGACAGAAATGATAGGGTTACAGTACTGGGACAGGATCTCCAAAAATGTAGCAATGTGTTTGCTTATATTAAATATTTCTCCTCCAGCATCTACAGTATCTGGTAAGTGTTGTTCTTCTATTAATGGAATTGATTCAATGCCACATTTTTTTTTTAAACCTTGTGAAGTAGGTACAGAAGAAAGGGACCGGGGCATAACAATGTGTTTGCTTATATTAAATAAGTTTTTTCTTTTCTTTTCTTTCTGCAGCATCTACAGAATCTGGTAAGTGTTCGTCTTCTTCTAATGGAATTGATTCAATGCCATATTTTTTCTTTAAAGATAGGAACCTTGTGAAGTAGGTACAGAAGAAAGGACATTGCAAAATATACACACTCTTCATTGTTTCCCTTAGCATTGAGAAATATGACCAGATTAAAGGGTTGGGAATGAATCACTCTCATTCAGGTGTTGCCAGCATAAGTGGAAAAACAATTGTTTCATATTAAACAGATTGTGAAATTCTAATATTCAGTTTTTTTCCTCCTGCCTTCTACTTTCTAAATACATCAGATTCATGAGCTTTTAAGCCAGGCAAAAAAGGTTGCAAGATCAAGTGCTGGTTATGTCAGATAAAGTAGGAATATTTCAGTTTAGAACGAAAAAAAGGGGAAACAAGGAAGATTTAATAATATCCCCTCTACATTTGTTGTCAATTATGGAATCAGCAACACACATCCTAATCCATCATCTCCTTAATAAACGTCAGCATTCCAAGTAATGCACCCATTCAAGACAGAACTCCAAAGCAGCCAGATTCCTCAATGAACAGTTTATTGGATACATCATATTGGCACAACTGGCGAAAACCAAAGTTCTGAAAGTTCCCATGGTTTTCACCTAATTAAAAAGTGAATGTTCTCCCTTCCCCCAAGTCATCAGTCACATTCTCCAATAGAGGTGCTGGCTGGTTGCTTGGTTACTCCACTCGTCCTCTCCCCAGCATCTGTTTGAATATCCTTGGTTCCCACAGAAAAACTTTTTATTTTGACTACAAAGCCAAGCTTTTCCCCTCCCTTTCTTCCCCTCTGCCCTGTGGCAATCATGAAGCCTCAAAGATGTCCTGAGCCTGGTTCGCTTCAGGGTTGACACTAGACTTGGCACACACAGAACCTGTACTCCCACTTCTCTCCTGCCTGGGTTGATCATATGTACCTCTTCTTAAGTACATACTTCTCATCTGCAGACCTCTCACTTGAAATTTCCAGAAAAATAGTAAAGTAAAGATTGCTTGATTGTGTTTGCCAACAGGAAGTGTTGGGCCTGATCATCATTTACCAGAAGGGTTATCCATAAGAGCCTTAGACTTCTTCTGTCCCTAACTTGATCAGCATTGTATTGTCCTATTTTTTTTAATAAAAAATGGATTTGTCTATAAATCGATAAAATAAAGGTATTTACTGCACTGCAAGGAGTGAAAATTTTAAGGGGTGTGGACAATCTATTCTGTCTATTCTAATTCTCTTGGTTCAAGAGTTACCTTTCTCCCAAGTAACCAATAGCTGCAGATTAAAATTCTTATCTTATTTTCTTTCATAAACATAATTAATTACAAACCAAACATCTGAGTAACAATGCATGGGGATGAATAATGTGATAATTTTTTCCCCATGAGTTACAAAGATGCCACTTCAAATTTATTTTATTTACCATATTTTTCAGAGTATAAGACGTACCTTTTTCCCCCCTAAAAGCTACGTCTTATACACCGAATGTAGCTCCACCCACCCACTGGCCCCTACCCTTTGGTCTCTGCCTCACAGCAGTTACTTCCTTGCAAGCAAACAGCAAGAAAAAACAGCTCCTTTCAGCTTCAGCACAGCCTAATTAGCACAAGTTGATTGGATCGGCCCCCCAACTCTCAGCTGATTTGCTCTCAGCTGTTTTGCAGGGCTCTGCTGCTTGCTGCAAGGATGTAAATTGCTGGAGCAGTTTTTTGTTTCTCCTTATGCTAATCAAGCTATGCTGAAAATGAAAATGAGAGTAAAGCAGGCTGTTTGATGTTTGTTGCAAGAAGGCAAAATTGCTCAGAGGCAGAGACAGATTTCTTTTTCTTCTTTTCCTCACCAAAAAAGGTAGGTGCGTCTAATACTCCAAAAATACAGTATTTATTTTAGGTATATTATGGCAACTCATCTTAAACAAAGTGTCTGGGGGCAGAGTACAACCATTAAAATAAACCAATAAATAGATTAAAACAATTATTTTAAAAAATTCCTAAAAATACAAACAGTAGAGGAGAGATTATATTGCAGGATCTAATATGGTTGGTCATTCGGACCAGAAGTTTAATCCTCTGAACTTTTGGACCCGTGCTGGAGCCCATCCTCAGGAAACTTCTCTCTCACCGCATTCTAATAGAGAGAAGTTCCCTGAGGATGGACTGCAGCACAAGTCCAGAAGACTAAACCTCTGGTCCCAGTGACTGACCCTGGTTCACGTATATTTGCCTTCTTTCATGAGAGAGTAAATTAATCACAACACTAAAACAATCTTAAGATATCCCTGGTTCCCTGGGACCCTAGGCCTGACAACATAGCCAGGACTTAAGGGACTTATGTAACATAAAAAAGGATGGCGCTAACCTCACTTCTGGGGGCGAATATGGCTGAGAAGGCCCATCTCCTAGAATCTCCCAGGTATAAGTCCCAAAGGACTGGATCCAAAGCATGCTGTTTCTTCCAGATCTAATGGAATGGGCAAGTGAGGTTGGGGAGAGCTGGTCCCTCAGATAACCAGTACTATGCTATGAAGGACTATAAAGTTTAAAACCAGCACCTTGGACTGGCAACCATGCAGCTCATGAAGCACAGGTGGAATAGGTGCTGTTCTAGAAGCACACGTACTGCTCACTGCTGCTGCACTCCGCACCATCTGAAACTTTCAGATGCTTTTCAAGGGCAACTCCATGTAGAACTCGTTACAATAGAGCCCAATTTGGAAGTTACTAGGATGAACGTGTCTGTGAACAGAGTTTCCTGGATTCTACCACAGATGTTTTTGTGTAAGTCTTCTTCAAAGCTTTTATGCTCTGCTGATGGTAGATCAGCAAGGAGAGCTTTAGTAAAGAGAAATTTATGCTGTCCTTCTAATGGTTGACTCCCTAAAAGTCATGCACACACACACACAAACAAACACACAAACACTATATGATCAAACTAATCCAAGACACAATTTCCACCACATTTGGGGTAACAGCAAAATAATTCATTTTTATCTCTTTTTTTTCCCCTTTCACCTTCTTTTTAAAGGAGTAACTCCTATGCCCAGTGATCTTTCTTCAACATGTAAGTAGAACATCTAGGTAACATAATTCAGAAAAATTAGTTTTCAACCTTGTGGAACACTTTTTAGAACAATAATTCCCCAGCAAGCAATTGACATGCAAATATCCACAAGGTGTATTTGCACATTTTAAATTCGTTAAAAGGTACTTATCACAGAATGCTTGAATTTCCTTGCTTCCAAACATTTTTATTTCACCAGTCTTTTACTGTGCTGCCAATAGCTTGGATTTTGTATTTCAAAACAGGAGAGTCAAATATAGCTGTCTTATAATATAGGCAATATAGACAGGGGTGTCAAACTCGATTTCATTGAGGGCTGCATCAGGGTTGTGTTTGACCTCCGGTGCCCAGGGTGGGCATGGCCAGCTCAACATCACTCATGTCAGGAGCGCCTTTGATGGCCTGAGTGCGCTGCCAGAAACACCACAGGCCAGTTCTTAGCTGTTTCCATGGCAGCCCCGTGGGCCAGATCTAAGTACCCCATGGGCCAGATCCAGCCCCCGGGCCTTGAGTTTGACACCCCTGTTATAAGACATGTGAGATCTTTGATTAATACAATTATACCTAATGCTTGGTCTTCACAGAAAAATAAAACATACCCAGGAAAAGGCACATTTTTACTTCTTATAGCTGTGCCCTAATGATCTCATCGTATTATATTTTGGTCTATGTCAACTTTCTGCTTGAGCTGATTATCATGAGATCAACGTGACCGAGATTGTAAGGCATAAGAAACAATAAGATTTTTTTTTTAATGAAAAATGAGATTTAAAAAACCACTGTGTTTATAGGAACAGCTTCAGTTGATAGTGCAGCTGGTAGTTGTGTTTTTGCTAAGAGGTATTAGATATGATACATTTCATTAAATAAATACAGGAAGCAAAGTACTAATCAATTAATATTAAATTACATTCACAATTCTTAAATTAAGCTAATGTATAAATTTTCACCATAAAATGTATAGAGTTGTACAATAGATATTATATAATTTAATATACGATGAAATATGATATTCTACTATTTTTCTTTCTTTCTTTCTTTCTTTCTTTTTTTGATAGCTGAACCTGGATGTGGCGGCACATTTTCAGACGCTACAGGCTCATTTTTTGGCCCATATTATCTTGGAGACAATCGTGATCAAAAGTGTGTCTGGAGAATTGACTCCCCTGAGCACCATCCAATAAGAACAAACCTTAATTATGTAAAGTAAGCATTTTTCTTTCAAATCCCTTTCAGTCATTTCAATCCCTGAAATTTCATTGGCCTTTTTGCATAAAAGGGGAAATGAGAGTGTTTTCCCCCATTGATACTCTGTTGTCCGGTCCATGATTACTTTTGTCTACTTTTTCCTCTTCAGCTTAAATTGTGCTACTGAATATATTGCTGTCTATGAGGGAGAACCAGAGAGGTCACGTCTACTTGGGAAAATATGCGAAGGAGAAAGGACATTTTTCTCTTATTCAGGCCTGATGACCTTGGTATTAAACAGACATTCTGAAACAGAAGGTCAAGGCTTCATTGCATTTTATGATGTAGGAGGTAAGCATGCTACTGATCCTGTTTATTGAAAAGAAGGACTGGGGTAACATGATAGTAAGAGCCTGTAGTACAGTGGACTAAAGCACTATAATTAACATCTGCTGCTTGCAATTACTGCAAGTTCAAATCTCACCAGGCTCAAGGTTGACTCAGCCTTCCATCCTTTCAAAGGTAGGTAAAATGAGGACCCAGATTGTGGGGGCAATAAGCTGACTTTGTATAAATATACAAAAGTATGAAGGCTATTGCTTAACACATTGTAAGCCATCCTGAGTGTCCAGAGAAGGGCGGCATATAAATTAAAGCAAAATTAAAGCAAATAAAGCAAATAAATGATAGCAGTGGTCCAATATCTAAGAGGTAACCACAAGAACAGGGAGTCAACCCATTCTCCAAAGCACCTGAAGGCAGGGCAAGAAGCAATGGATGGAAACTAATCAAGGACAGAAGCAATCTAGAATTAAGAAGAAATTTCTTGCCAGGGAGAACAATTTATCTAGTGGAATGACTTGCCTCCAGAAGTTGTGGATGCTCCAGCACTGAAGGTTTTTAAGAAGAGATTAGATAACCATTTGTCTGAAATAGTAAAGGGTTTCCTGCCTGAGCAGGAAGTTGGACTAGAAGTCCTCCAAGGTCCCTTCCAACTCCATTATTTTGTTATTCTGATACTTGCTGCTATGCTTTTCCTGCCATGAGGAATTTTTGCTGATATTTTACTTTATTGTACATGTCTTTCTTTCTCTGTCTAATCTCAGAAATCAGAACTCTAGCAACTAGTGATTTCAGATTTAGATTTGTTATTCCTTTGAGACAGGCTTCAAATCAGCATTAAATCCCAGGGAAAGAAATTACACAAAGATCACCCTATCTCAGTTTGGGAAGGCTGCCCGTTTTTTGAAAACTCTATAAGTAGTCAAAGATGTTGCCAGAATTTATGCCATATTGAAATCTTTTCAAATACAGCATAATTTCTTTTCTATTTTTTGCTTCCTTCCAGTTAGGACTAAAAGAAGATTTGGGAAATGGCTTTTAGAAATATTCCTTCCTCCCTTGATAATATGTACTCGGGACTGTGCTATCTCTGTGGTCAGGAAGAGAAGGAAGTGTGCAAGCAACAAGAGAATATTCTGGCTTCTTCTACAGTCCCTTTTGAAGTCTCAAATTTTGACAAGGAAGAGTAGACTTATAGAACTTTCTAGAGTAAGAACATGCAAGCTCTGAGCCTCCTTCAACCCCAGAGTTCTTAATCCATTCCATTGTGAACTTCTGTACATATATAACCTCCTTGGTCCTCTTCAGTTGAAGATGGTGCACAGGAAATTTCTTTCACGTAGGAGGCTAGGCCACACATTTACTAGATATATTTTTCAAGATGGGTTTAACACTAACAATATTGTGTTATTATTGCTCAGATTATTAAAACAGATGGACCATTTACAAGGTTCACACAGCTGTTTTGAAAAATGTCCCCAGCTGTCTCAGCACAAATGTGGATGCCGAATCACTTCATCTTATTGGTGAATCCAAAATGTTGAATGTCCCTGTACATGCACACCAGGGACGAGTTTCAAAACCCATCGCTACCGGTTTGCTTATGGGCTTGCGTGCGCTCGCACTCATGTGCAACACTTCTGCACATGTCCAGGTGGGTGGGCGGAGCTTCCCACCACCACCGCTACCAGTTCGCCCAATTCGGGGCAAACCGGTAGCAACCCACCACTGATGCAAACATAGACAGCTTTCTGCGTTTGGTTCAGTCTAATATATATTAGCACTGGGATTTTTTCAAATACTTTGCATGGCCCTATACCACAAAAAACCAAGCATCCAAAATCTGAAATCCAATATTACTGTTATTTCTGGGAAGAACTCTTGGGCTAATTAGTCCTTAAAACAAGCAAAACATAATTGCAGTTGAATGCTTTATTCACCTGCCCAGAAAATGCAATCTGATACTATAGTGTAGTGGACCATAGCAACGTCAAGGAGCATCCTCCCCCCGTTTGCTTTCTGGCTCAACTCTCCATGACAACAGTTTTATAAATCTCTGGGTACCCAATAGTCATTTTATGAGATTGCTTTTGAAACAATCTCAATTTTCAGGTATCTATAGATATGCTGCGGTCAGTCATAGAAACATAGAAAACTGATGGCAGAAAAAGACCTAGTGTTTTATGGCAGATGCCATTTGAAGGGGAAAGGTTATTAAATTTTTTGTTTGTTTGTTTTCTTTTTATTTATGTATTTATTGTTTTTTAATTATTGCTTTTACCTTTATCAACACCATCCTCAGCTCTTCATTATGTAGAATCACATGTGTCTCATGAAAGGAATCTTATAAGTCCCTAAACTGAAAAGTGGCTTCCTTTGTTTCTTTGTAGCAGAGGTCTTCAAACTTGGCAGCTTTAAGATTTGTGAACTTCAACTCCCAGAATTCTCCAGTCAGCCTAGAATTCTGTGAGTTGAAGTCTTAAAGCTGCCAAGTTTGAAGACCTCTGCTTTATGGTCTCATAAATCTCTCATTCCAAAGGGACAGGAATGTTTTCACGATTTATCTATGCTAATTGTGGTCATTTTGAAATTATTTTGTTCAGTATAATGGTTCTGTCCTTTCAAGCTATGTTTTTCACCTTGACAACTTTCAAGATGTCTGGACATCAACTCCCAGAATTCCCGAGCCAGCATGCTGAAGTCCATATATCTTAAAGTTGGTAAGGTTGAGAACTGAGAAAACAATGAATTGGAAGGAGCTTCTATGGCTATTGGTACAAAAGCAATTGAAAAGCAGAGAAAACAACTGATATTTGTTTACTTATTTGTATCCCACCTTCATTATTTTTACAAATAAAGACTAATAGATTTTTTTTCTTATCAGAGGCTTTCACAACTCCATTGCCAAGAGCTGACCTCACAAGTAAGTTTATACTCTCAATCTATAATTTTTCCAAGAAGTTTAAAAATTATTGTTTGCAAATAATAAGTAAATTAAACTAAGTAATCAACTAAATAATAATAGAATGACTATGGCAAAAGAAAGCAAATGTAGTACCAATAGTAATTGACGGCTTGGATGCAATCCCAAAACAACTGAAGCAAATTCACCATCAGTCAACTGCAAAAGACAGCTTTATTTATTTTTTAAAATGTATTTTACTTTTATTTGTCAAGAACATATTCAGTAATATATATAAATATAAGCATGAATTGAATACATAAAATGAGTACAATTAAAGGGAAAATTAGGACAGGGATGGTAGGCACGCTGGTGCTCTTATGCACGCCCCTTACAGACCTCTTAGGAATGGGTGAGGTCAACAGTAGACAGTCTTAGGTTAAAATTTTGGGGGTTTTGGAATGAAACCATAGAATCAGGTAGTGCATTCCAGGAATTGACCACTCTGTTGCTGAAGTCGTATTTTCTGCAATCGAGTTTGGAGCGGTTCACTTTAAGTTTGTATCTATTGTGTGCTCATGTATTGTTATGGTTGAAGCTGAAGTAGTCATTGACAGGTAGGACATTGTAGCAGATAATTTTATGAGCTATGGTTAGATCAGCTTTATTCAGAACAGCTTATATCCTGCAACAATATCTTCAACACCATCGAACATCCACATCTGCCTATGCCAAGTCTTTGGAAAGGATTCGAAAGGTGGACAAAAATGCCAAATTCAGGCTGATTGTGTGATGAATCATAAATTGTCATGTTTACTTTTTGCTGAGGAATTAAGAACAATTTATACAATTCAAGAGGGTTATATTAAAATAGAACAGACATTCAAGCATGATCCTTAGTCCAGAGATTTCAACAATATTACAGAACTCTGAGTTTATTTTGCTTCAGGAACGTTGGCCCCATTCCATTTGGAAAAATCCATGTTAGGAAAGCCTGCCATTTTACTCTGAAGAGTAAATGAGTTTTAACTACCAATCATTCAGATGCACATAACTATGCAGATATGTATACTGAGATGTCTATTTCAGGACCACGCCTTCTTCATTATTCTAATCCAAAAACAAAATCACATATGGAAACTGTCGGGCATTGGGTTCCTATTTTGTGGGAATGTTATAAATTGGGAAATGTACATAACCATATTTCTGCCTTTGTTACTTTATTCTTCTCTCTTTCCTTCCACTGACCTTTACACTGACCCTCATCATGTTTTTTAGAAAATACAGTTCACTATCACATTTTAGTTGTAATCATACCAGATTTTTAATGACTGGTTATAGTAGTATCGACAATTAATACAAGTGATATCATTTACATATAATTTTATTTAATTTTATTTTCTGAACAGCTCGTCCTGAAGAACCAACTGGTAAGTTCCGTATCCCCTTTTCATGTCTTAAAATAAATTCTTTCTGGTTAGCTACTCTGTGTGAATGATACCTTTTGTCATTTAAATAACTGATAAAAACACCCTCACAGAAGAAATAATTTTTTGCCAGAAAAAGTCCTAGAGTATTCCTCTCCTCAAAATCAGATACGGTTAGTTGGCTATTAAACCACAGATTGTTAATGCAATATTCAGTAGTAAAAAAGAATTTCTTTCTTCAGGAATAGAATAGCGTAGCATAGCGTAGCGTAGCGTAGCGTAGCGTAGAATAGAATAGAATAGAATAGAATAGAATAGAATAGAATAGAATAGAATAGATATAATACTTCTTTGGCCAAGTGTGATTGGAATTTGTCACAAGGAATTTGTCTTTGGTGCATATGCTCTCAGTGTACATAAAAAGACAAGATACATTTGTCAAGAATCATAAGGTACAACACTTAACAATAGTCATAGGGTACAAATAAGCAATCATGAAACAATCCATATCAATATAAATCGTAAGGATACAAGCTACAAAGTTACGTTATGCAGTCATAAGAGGGAGAAGATGGGTGATAGGAACGGTGAGAAGACTAATAGTAATAGTAATGCAGCCTTAGTGAATAGTTTGACAGTGTTGAGGGAATTATTTGTTTAGCAGAGTGATGGTGTTCAGGGAAAAAACTGTTTTTGTGTCTAGTTGTCTTGGTGTGCAGTGCTCTATAGCATTGTTTTGAGGATAGAAGTTGAAACAATTTATGTCCAGGATGCAAGGGGTCTGTAAATATTTTCACAGCCCCCTTTTTGACTTGTGCAGTATACAGGTCCTCAATGGAAGGCAGGTTGGTAGCAAATTTTTTTTTATATACTGCCCCAAAGTGCTTTACAGCACTCTCTGGGAGATTTACAAAGTCAGCGTTATTTACATATTTGCCCCCAAAATCTGGATTCTCATTTTACCAATCTCAGAAGGATGGAAGGCTGAGTCAATCTTCATTTTACTTTTGTTTATTGTTTGTTGGATATGAATTGCATTTGGTTGTCTTATTATGTGAATGCATGGCTGGATTTGGAGGGGCATCAAACCTTGCTTCTCTGTGAAGATACCCCTTGTTGGTTTGGCATCTTCCTGAAGCAACCAAGTGGCAAATGTGTGGCACACTCATTTCTCATTTTCTGCTTCTCTTTATACCAAAGCAGCTCATCTTCTGATAGCTAAGAAAATATACTCTACAGAGAGCCTAATTCTCTGTTATATCTAGAATCTGTAGCAGTTTGTCTTGTGGTATGCATAAGGCTCTGCTGTTTTAAATCCTGGTTCTAATCAAGCATCAATAATGGATCTATAATCCCTATTAGCCTTCTGGATAATTTTCAATCATCCTGAAGGAACAGCATTATCTGGTCTTAGATACTGTCCTTGCTCACTGCAATATTTGATCTGATCTGATTATTAAAAATGAAGTAGTGTATCTTTAATATTGATCTTCTAAAAGACCTGAGCACATCCTCTTCCCCCCACTTTTTAATGATATTGATTCTTCAGCAAATTAGTCACACCACTTTCCCATCAACTATCGCAATCTCTGAGTAGCACATGGCGAACTTTGTTTTGCCATGCGTGTTAAGGAAGACATAAATGACTGCAATATTGAATATGTCTCTTCCTTGTGGAAGAAATAGCTACACATGTCTTATGGTGCTGCCCATTCTAAATGACTTGATGATTGGCTATTTGATATTTGCCTAGTTAACAATTGTCAAAGTCCATCAATTGATCAGAATAGGAGAAAGGTCTCCTGGGGGCACACTTGTCGCCAGAAATTTCTAGACATATACAGTAGACTAGACTTTGCTTTTTAGGAATTAATAGTCAAGGTTTCCCTTTAAAACAGACTTTAAAAGTATGTGTGTGTATCTATAGGAACAGTTAATTCAATCAGGGAAAAAAAGGATTTGTTTGTTACCTTTTTGGTGTTCTCTGTAGTTATATGTATTAGCGACAGAAAGCTATTTTCTGACTCTAAATAGACGATGAGGATGATTCTAAATCTGATGAAGAGATAGTTATTCTAGTTTTTATAAATTACTCACTGAAATATAAGACTGGATAAATGGAAGAATGGTAAAATCAATAGGAGTGACATTTAAATTTCCTTTCTTTGTGAACAGGTGTCTTTGGAGACAGTGAATAACCAACTTCTTTTTTTCTGTTCCAAATCTAACTTTCTAATAAACTGTTAAGCATCAATGATAGGTATCATAACTCACAATTGGATTTTTTTCTTTAAAAATAATAATTAGCTTGTTCACCATTGGTCTTTCTACATCTAGAAGTTCAGTGGCTCCATGAATGTGGCTATCATCTCAAAGACTAATCTAACAATCATTGATTGAGAATATATCATTGAGAAAAAAAATACTTCATTAAGTTGTGACAGTGGCTGTTTCATATTATAAATATTGTAAATCTCTCGTATAAAATATCCTTGATTGGTAACTAAGTGGTCATATATAAGCCATTTACTACCAAAGATATCCCTGTATTTATTTCTTTGCCTGGCTTCAGTGCTATTATCTCATAAATATGCTCTGACTTTTTTGTGCATTTTTAGCTCCATCTACTCCTATCAAAATAACTATCATATCAGAAAAGGCCCCTGGTAAGAAAATACACACTTTTATTTTCTAAAATCATGCACTGATGAGTAATCAAAAACATTGTCAAGTAATTGTTATATTCACATCACTTATTGCACTTCATGTGACAAGGATCAGTGGAAGGAACATCTGGGGACTTAATAGAGGTGTTGGAGCCACTCAGAGAAGTAATTCTAAACTGAAAGAGAGTCTATTGACTAGAAGATCAACATCAGAAATCTGTGAAACAAATAACATTATAAACAACAAATCCATACACTAGAGCTTTTTTTCTATTACATATATCAGACCAGTAAAAATCCATCCTAATTCCAATTACTCATTAAGTCACTCCCTCCATCTTGTCCTCATAGAATAAAATCTTTTTCTTCTCTGGAATAACTATCAAGCAATTATAAACTTCTCTTTTTCTCAAGGGATTCTCAACCTTGTTAGTATCCATGAAGAAAGAGTCCCAGACTTGTTTTCTTGAGAATTGTAGATTTACTTGGAACTCTTATATCAATTATACTGGAAGGCTTGTGATTAAACCATCATCATAATAGAGAGTAGTACCAGATTTATATTCCAAAAATAGCAGTTAAATTCTTTGCATTGTTAGGTACTTGTGAAATTGCCTCAGTGATTTGGTAAATTTCTATACATAATGACATCTCTGAATTCGTCATCTTTTTTCCAATTACATGAATTGTTTGTTCCTCTTGTGTTTTTAGAACATAATTGAACTATAAACTGAATTGTTTTATTTAAATACTTCTCAAGCATACTCTGGCAATCTGATAAAGTCCATGTTTTTTTTTTCCATGTTCTTAGCTCCCTCTTGTAGTCAAGGAGGAAATATTTTATACATTGATTAATGCTTCCTGGCTAATCAGAATTCATACAAATTGAAAAATTTCAGCCACCCACAACTAAACAATTCAAAGCTACAGAGTATATAAAAATAATAAAATAAAACCACAGATTTTTATATCCTTATGTTTTCTAGCAGTTTTTTTTTTAAAAAAACTCCATTTATCCTTATTTTACCTTACCTCCAGCAACTCTCTTCCCTGTCATTTACCAATAAGGAAATCTCAGAAATGATACAGCTCTTCAAAAGGTATAAAAGGCTGTGACTGCAAAGAGCTTCTTTTAGCTTAATAAAGATAATAATCCCATGAACTGATTAAGAGTAATATGCACTGCTTATTGTCTGTTTTAAAAATAAAATCCAAAATGACTGCTATTTAAACAGCAAAGTGATTGCAGCCCTGTCCCTCAGCTGGTCCTGAGGCTTCTTGCACACCATTGATGTATGGAGGATCTTGTGGGGTAGTTGAAGACATCTTGGTCCAGACAGAGGAAATCTCACCAGACTGGTCATTCGGCCATTTTCAGGAAATCCAATTGAGGATATATCACTGTGGAAAAAAAGACTTCATTAAGTCATGACAGAGGCTGTTTCGTATCATAAACATTGTAAATGTCTAGCATGCAAAATCCTTTTTTAGTAAGTGATCATATATAAGCCCTTTACTACTAAAGATATCATCTGCAGTCTCATACTGGGGAGTAAGGCAGTTTCACTTACTGTATACAATTTATTTCGTGCCTGGATTCATTGTTATTATCTCACAAATATGCTCTGACTTTTTTGGTGCATTTTTAGCTACATCTGCTACTCCAGCTCCACCTGCTATCCAAACAACTATCAAAACAGTCGTCACAGAAGCCCCTGGTAAGAAAACTCACACTTTTATTTTCTATAATCATGCACTGATGAATGATCAAAAACGTAGTCTAGTAATTGTTATATTCACATCACATTCATGTGACAAAGATCAGTGGAAGGAACATCTGGGCATTTAATAGAAGTATTGGAGCTACTCAGAGAAGTAATTCTCAACCGAAAGAGAGTCTATTCACTGGAAAATCAACATCAGAAATCTGTGAAACAAATAACTTTAATTCCAATGTTATTACTTTATCAGAATATAAAATACAAAGGAACGTGAAAATAAGGAAACTAGGGGACGTTAAAGGGAAAATAGAGAGTGTGAGAGAGAAGGGAAAAAAGGAAAAGCATTGACTTCTAACTCTTTTTAGCTCTGTAGAAATAATATTACCACCTCAACCTTTTGCTTTTACACTACAAATATAATTGGCATTTCTGTAATAATACACGTAGCTAATTTGCAAACCCGCAAATCAAAATTTCATTTTTTTCCATCTCAAACACAAAACCAAGAAGAGTTTCCAAATAGAAACAAAATTAGATATGTTCCTTTCTTGAAATAAAGCAGTCAATTTAACTATATGTGCTTTTTTATTTCATGTGGGAAGTTAATAATAATTTCTATTTTAATTTATTAATCTTAATAAACTATTAGCATTTATATTAACAAGGTACTATGCTCATTCAAATTCTTTAACCTTAAATGGAAAAACAGTTTTTTTAAAATCCATTTTAAAACTCTAAAAATTTTCTTTAAAAATATTTTTAAACTCAATGAATTCTAATACATGTTTTTAAATTTCTTCCTAATATATATATACTTTCAAATTCATTTTCAATAATATTTTATAAACTTTAGGAATTACTCAACTATTATATATAAAAAAAGGAAGAAAAACTCCATTTTCAAACCCACTTTATAAACAACAAATCCATACCCTAGAGCTTTCTTTCGATTACATATATCAGACCAGTAAAAATCCATCCTAATTCCAATTACTCATTAAATCACTCCCTCCATCTTGTCCTCATAGAATAAAATCTTTTTCTTTTCTGAAATAACTATCAAGCAATTATAAACTTCTCTTTTTCTCAAGGGATTCTCAACCTTGTTATTCATGAAGAAAAAGTCCCAGACTTGTTTTCTTGAGAATTGTAGATTTACTTGGAATTTTTCTTTCCATTACATTGGAAGGCTTGTAATTAAACCATCATCATAATAGAGAGTAGTACTAGATTTATATTCCAAGAATTGCAGTTAAGTTTTTTGCATTGTCAGGTATTTGCACAATTCACAATTTGCATTGTGAAAGTGCCTTGGTGATTTGATAACTTTCTATACATAATGACATCTCTGAATTAGTCATCTTTTTTCCAATTACTTGAATAGTTTGTTCCTCTTGCTTTTGTAAGATTTTTAGAACATAATTGAACTACAAAGTGAATTCTTTTATTTAAATACTTCTCAAGCAGACTTTTGCAATCTGATAAAGTGATATTTTTTTCATGTTCTTAGTTCCCTCTTGTAGTCAAGGAGGAAATATTTTATACATTGATTAATGCTTCCTGGCTAATCAGAATTCATACAAATTGAAAAATTTCAGCTATCCACAACTAAACAATCCAAAGCTACAGAGTACATAAAAATAATAAAATAAAACCACAGATTTTTATATCCTTATGTTTTCCATCAAAGTTTTTTTTAAAAGGTATTCCATTCGTCCTTATTTTACCTTGCGTCCAGCAACCCTCTTCCCTGTTATTTACCAATAAGGAAGTCTCAGAAATGATGCAGATCTTCTAAAAGGTGTAAAAGGCTGTGACTGCAAAGAGACTCTTTTAGCTTAATAACGATAATTATCCTACAAATTGATTAAATAAAAGGCACTACTTATTGTCTGTTTTAAAAATAAAATCCAAAATGACTGCTATTTAAACAGCAAAGTGATTGCAGCCCTGTCCCTCAGCTGGTCCTGAGGCTTCTTGCACACCATTGTTGTATGGAAGATCTTGTGGGATGATTCTAAAACTACCTCTAACCTAGGAGACTCATATAAATGAAGGGAACGTGGTTCCCTTGTTAGTAGTTGAAGACATCTTGGTCCAGACAGAGGAACTCTCACCCAACTGGTCATTTGGCCATTTTCAGGGAATCCAATTGAGGATATATCACTGTGGAAAAAAAGACTTCATTAAGTCATGACAGAGGCTGTTTCGTATTAGAAACATTGTAAATGTCTAGCATGCAAAATCCTTCTTTAGTAAGTGATCATACTAATAAAGATATCATCTGCAGTCTCATGCTGGGGAGTAAGGCAGTTTCACTTACTGTGTACAATTTATTTCGTGCCTGGATTCATTGTTATTATCTCACAAATATGCTCTGACTTTTTTGGTGCATTTTTAGCTACATCTACTCCAGCTCCACCTGCTATCCAAACAACTGTCAAAACAGTCGTCACAGAAGCCCCTGGTAAGAAAACTCACACTTTTATTTTCTATAATCATGCATTGATGAATGATCAAAAACGTAGTCTAGTAATTGTTATATTCACATCACTTATTGCACTTCACATGACAAGGATCAATGGAAGGAACATGTAGGAAGTCTTGGGGTGGGGTGGGGATTATAAGCAACTTGGAGAAATAATTCTCAATCAAATGAGAGAAGATTAATAATATTCCATGAATCAATGTCAGAATTGTATGAAACAAATCACTAAAGTTATATCTGACAACACAGGTTTTGTATCTTCCCATACTTTTTCAGCACTAATTTATTGTCAAATTATAGGATAATCATATCTTACTCACTTTTTGTTCAAATAAGAATGTTATATAACCCTACAAAAGGATATATTAGATGCACCAAAGCTATCCATTCTTCAAGACAGAGAGCTATGTACTTGCCATATGAACTTCTTTAATTAATTTTGAATGCACACACAGATACATATATACACACATACATATATATATATATACACACACATACACACACACATACACATAGTATGTGTGTATATAATTGGTGAAATTTTCCTACCCCGTAGTATAACACTGAAGGAAGTTTATGTATATAAACTTAGTACAAGATCATATTTCAGTCACAAATATGAAGATATATCAGTAAAGAAAATGGACTTTATGAGTAATTTTAAAAGGTTATCAGTTAGCATTAATTCTACGAATACTAGTATAGAAATACTGTTAGAAATGTTCACATAAATATAATATGAAACAGGTTAAATGGTTTTTCTCTGCATATTTTAACCCTGCAGGGTTATACTGTGGGGAAAGAAAATTTCACTAATTACCGGTATATAACATTTTTAGTGATCGACTGTAGTACTGTTACCCCAATACTGGGAGTAATTATGCTCCACTATAATTACCTTAATTATAGGTTTTATGCCTTATTTCTTTTCTCTGATGTAACTGTTTCACATAATGCTATTTCACACTCAGAAAAATTGCCTGGTAAGTCTGCATAAGAATTTCAAAGTTGAATACTATGAACTATAAATATGATGAAGTTTATAACAGAAGTTTATACTAATCCTAATTCATTGGCAAAATTTTAAAAATTGTTTGCTCATCTCTGGAGTATCAAATGCCTCATTATTTCCAGTTTCACATTCAAAAACATGGATTCTGACTCATCTTTCTCAGGTGAATCTGTAAGACTGGCCAATGGAAAAAATAAATGTGAGGGACGTGTTGAAATCTTTCATAATGGATTGTGGGGGACCGTCTGTGATGACTCCTGGGACATAAATGACGCAACAGTTGTGTGCAAGCAACTCGATTGTGGAAGTGCCGTCAGAGCACATCAAAGCGCTTACTTTGGTCAAGGCTCAGGAAACATAACTCTGGATGATGTAAATTGTAGAGGGAATGAAAACAGATTGGAGGCCTGTTCTCATGGAGGATGGTATCGTCATAATTGCAACCATGGAGAAGATGCTGGTGTTTCTTGCTCAGGTATCTTCCGTATTATCTGAAATACAACAGCATACAGGGAAAGAAAGTGCAATATGTTTAATGTTTTCCTTATAATGGAACAGGTGTAATGTTGTACATATCTCTGAAAAAAGAAAAAGCAGCACCTAGGCTAAATACATCTTGGCAACATCTGACATGTGGACTGAGCAAGTCCTCAAACTGAATATAAAGCCACAAGTTGTAACATTAGGCTGTTATAATATCCAGAACCAGAATATTTTTTTGTCAAAGACCATCATACAAGACTGATTTTATCTTCTTTTTTTGAAAGACAAAAAGGACAAGTATAAAAAGTAGAATGAGGGGCACATAACTAAAGTAGAATATCAGCAAATATCCCGAGTCTGCAAAGATGAAGTGAGGAAAGCTAAGGCTCAAAATGAATTAAGACTTGTGACAAAAGTCAAAAATAACCCAAAAAAAGGTTCTTTCAACATGTAAAAAACAAGAAAAAAGTCAAGGAAAAGATTGGTCCACTAGTGGGAGAAAGTGACAAGCAATTGAGAGAAAGCAGAACTATTTAACTAATTTTTTTTGCATCTGTTTTTACACAAAGGGAAAAAACAGTCCAACCTATCAAAAACAGTACCATAAAAAATAGATTAGAAACACAAGTTAAAATAGAAAAGAAAATTAGCACTTGTCCACCCCAGATGAGTTTAAATCACTGGAGCCAGATAGATTATACCCCAAAGTTCTGAAGGAACTGGCAGATGTGAGCTCACATCTATATTTCACAAGATATAGAACTATATCTTCCAAAGATCCTGGAGCACCTTACCAGAGGACTGGAAAAGAGCTGATGTAGTCCACATCTTCAAAAAAGGAGGTGGAAATAGATTTAGGAAAGTACAGACCTATCAGCCTGATCTCAATACCTGGGAAGATTCTGGAAAAGATTATCAAGCAATGAATCAGTGAATAACTAGAGGCAAACAAAGTCATAACAAAAGCCAACATGGGTTTGTCAAAAACAGATCATGCCAGACTAATCTTGGGTTTGTCAAAAACAGATCATGCCAGACTAATCTTTTTGCATTCTTTGACAAGGTGACAAAATTAGTAGACCAGAGGAATGCTGTTGATATAATTTACTTGGATTTCAGCAAGGCATTTAACAAAGTAGACCATAATCTACTACTTGATAATATAGAAAAATGTGGATTAGACAACATCACCACCAGATGGATTCATAACTGGCTGACCAAGCCACATTCAACAAGTAGCCCTTAATGGAACTGCATCTACATGGAGGGAAGTATGCAATGGGGTACCCCAAGGGTCTCTTTTAGGCCCAGTACTCTTCAACATCTTTATCAATGATTTGGATGAGGAGATAGATGGGGAACTCATTAAATGTGCAGATGACACCAAGCTGTCAGGAACACTCCAGAAGATAGGCTTAAGATTCAGAAGGATTGTGACAGACTTGAACTTTGGGCACTAGAAATTCAATGGTAAAAAAAAGTAAGGTTCTACATTTAGGCAAGAAAAACCAAACACACAGGTACAGTATAGGTGGTACCTCACTTAATAGTAGTAACTGTGAGAGAGATCTTGGAATCCTAGTGGACAATAACTTAAATATGAGCCAGCAGTGTGCTACAGCTGCCAAAAAAGCCAATACAGTTCTAGGCTGCATAAACAGAGGGATAGAATCAAGGCCACGTGAAGTGTTTTTATCACTTTATAATGCCTTGGTAAGGCCACACTTGGAATCCAGTTTTGGTCACCACAATGTAAAAAAGATGTTGAGACTCTAGAAAGAGTTCAGAGAAGAGCAACAAAGATGATTAGGGGACTGGAGGCTAAAACATATAAAGAACGGTTGCTGGAATTGGGTATGTCTAATTTAATGAAAAGAAGGGCTAGCAGTGATATCTCAGGGATTGCCACAAAGAGGGAGTCAAGCTATTCTCCAAAGCACCTGAGGGCAGGACAAGAAACAATGGATTGAAACTAATCAAGGAGAGAAGCAACCTAGAACTAAGAAGAAATTCCCTGACAGTTAGAACAGTTAACCAGTGGAACAACTTGCTTCCAGAAGTTGTGAATTCTCCAACTCTGGACATTTTTAAGAAGAGATTGGACAACCATTTGTCTGAAATGGTTTCCTGCCTGAGCAGGAGGTTGGACTAGAAGACCTCCAAGGTCCCTTCCAACTCTGTTATTCTATTCTATTTTAATAAATATTAGTTTTCTACATGAAAATGTGGTTCACAATGTACATGCCCAAATGCTATTAAGTAGCTTGGTAGTTGGATGAATGAATAAATGCACCTAAAGAAGGCTTATGGATGACTCTGACTTGGAGACAAGTATTGTGTTCCACAGGACTCTCTTCCCTTTGCTGTTCAGCATTTTAATCAATGACTGTCTGGAACCAACTGTTAACCATACACACTCCTAAGGAACTCTAAACATGTAGTTGCCATGACCCTTCCTAAGTGAATTTTGAAAGTGTTCTTTCATGAAAATAAAAACATAGTAATATAGAAACTTGATGGCAGAAAAAGACATGGAGTTCCATTGCATCTGCCCTTTGAGGGTTTTTTTAATTCATTTATTTGTTTTTAATTATTATTTTTTATTTTTATTATTTATTTATTATATTTTTAATTTTTGTCATATGATAGACATATGTTTATCCCAAGCGTGTTTAAGTTCGGCTACAGATGATTGACCCACTACTCTGGTGGAAGTTGGTTCCAAGCTTTCACTATTCTTTCTGTGAAATAATAATATGCAGGCATTGTTGTTTATACAATAATAATGCAGTTGCCATTATGATCATGAGTCAATAAATAATTACAACAGCGAGATTCTGTAAATCACTAGTATGATATAGCATTAGTCAGCAATGTTCAAAGAAATACTATAAAGCAGTTCCCTATGAAGACATCTTATTCCAATTTTATATTGGATAATGAGACAAATTTTACATGTATATAGAATTTGTTTTATGTTGGTCTTCAATATTATTATCTATTTACAGATTCCATGACTTGTTTTCTTTTTTTGTAGGTCATACTACAGTTACTCCAGAACCAGAAATACCACCTAGTAAGTCTGTATCTTTAATCCTGAAATTAAAGACTCTGAAATAAAAACAGGACAAATCTACAATTGATCCCCAAACATATAACTTTTGCTGCTTCTACACTAAAGGGAAAAATGGATTCTTGTGACTCACCCAGAGTTGTGCCTACATGGAAGATCATACAAATATAATAAACAAACAAACAAATAAATAGGTGCAAATGTGGAACCACAGGCAGTTATAGGACCTTCCCAAAGAGTGGAGATTAAATGAGCTGCATTGGTTGTCAGAACTTCTTCCAGGTTCAGTTCAAGGACTTGTTCATGACCAATGGGGCCAGGATATTTGAGGGCACACCTCCCCCTGGATGCATCTGCCCATCCCATGTGGTCTGGCAGAAAAGGCACATTTGGGGGGGTCTCCTATATAAAGGAGTTATCACTTGTTGAGGTCTGGTCATGCATTACATGGCATCCATTCTTTTTCCATTCCCCTTCCCCGAGGTTAGATTGGCCCCAATCTTACTGGCCTTACAGAAGTCTCTCAACTTGTCATGTTGCTTGGACTTGGAGCCTGCTAAATGTCTGTATCGAGAGTGAAATATGAATTATTCTCTCATGGTGATTATGTTCTTTATGTTTTTAATCCGGTTGTTAATGGTTTTATACCTGTATTTTTGTGGTTTTATTTTTGTGGTTATTATTTTATTTTGTCTTATTTTGGATTAATGTCTTTGAGCTGCCCAGAGTGACAGATGTGGAGATTGGTAGATATGTATATTGAATTAATTAATTAGTGAAAAAGAAATCTGTGCATTTTCCATGCAACCATCTGAATAGAATTTAAAAGTAGAGCTTTGATAACATAAAATATCAGTTAACTTATTGTTAACTAACCCCGTCCTATGCAAAATTTTAAAAATTCTCTGTGTCTGTGAAATCTCAGATGCCTCATTTTTTTCCAGTTTCCCATTCAAATACATAGATCCTGTCTCATTTTTCTCAGGTGAATCTGTAAGACTGGCCAATGGAAAAAATAAATGTGAGGGACGTGTTGAAATCTTACGTAGTGGAATGTGGGGGACCGTCTGTGATGACTCCTGGGACCTAAATGATGCAACAGTTGTGTGCAAGCAGCTCAATTGTGGAAGTGCTGTCAAAGCATATGGAAGTGCTTTCTTTGGTCAAGGCTCAGGAAACATAACTATGGATGATGTGAATTGTAGAGGGAATGAAGACAGATTGGAGGAATGTTCTCATAAAGGATGGTTCCGTCATAATTGCAACCATCGAGAAGATGCTGGTGTCATGTGCTCAGGTATCTTCTGAAATATAAGAACACAACAGGAAAGAAAATGCGATTTGTTTACATATTTTCCTTCTAATGGAACTTCTAAGGTTTAATATATTTTTTCAAAAATGTTATACATATCTTCAAATAAAGGGAAAAAAGCAGCACCTAAGCTAAATACATCCAGTTTGACATCTCTAATGGGCATGTTCCTCAAACAGAACATTAAGCCACAAGTTGTAATCCTTAGGCTTGTTATAATGAACAAGAACTAAAACATTTGTTTATTAAAGACCATCATGCAAAACTGTATTTTTATAAAAATAAATATTAGTTTTCAGATGAGAATGCAGTAGACACAGTGTACGTGCCTAAATGCTGCTATTAAATAGGTTGACAGTTGGCCAAATGAATCACTGTATCCAAAGAAAGCTCATGGGTGACTCCGGCTTGGAGGGAAGGTCTATTCACCTTCATTTGAAAGGTCTTGAGCACCACAGGGCTCTCTTCCCTTTATTAACCAATGTTTTAATCAATGAACTGGTTGCAGAAATTGGGAGAACTCTGATAAATTTTGGCAGACAAATAAGACTAATTTCAGTTAGCAGGTATAATGTTCTCTGTTTCTCCCCAATATTAGCCCCCCTGTATTTATATGTTCTGTTGCTTGATTAAGTTTGTTTTCTTAACAGATTCTTCTACACCTGCTCCTCCGGTGACAGAGACCACCCCTAGTAAGTCTGCATCTGAGATCCTTGTTTGTCAATTCAGGGAAATGACTATTGACATTCTCTGTATTATTTACGTTGCATATATGTTTTGTAATAACAGACAATCCATTTCACTCAATTCTTATTAATAATTGTAATGAACCACCCGTTGACGCTGGAGAAACAAGGCAGAGGCAATGAATCAGTAGTGGGTTTCAAATCCCATTGTTACCAGTTTGCTTGTGGGCGTGCTTGGGCGTGCGCAACACTTCTGTGCATGTGCAGAAGCGTCCAGGCGCCTGGGTGGATCCTCCCACCACCGCCACTACTGGTTCACCCGATCCGGGGCGAACCGGTAGCAACCCACCACTGCAATGAATGTTACCTAAAGAAAACTGCTCTTTAAGCAGCAAAACAGCAAAAGCATGAGAAAGAAGCTCAGAGTAACTTTCTCCTAACTTTCTTCAGATAGCATCTGAAGGAAAGAAAGAGAGCAAAGCTCAGTCAGGCCTTGAAGACTGATATCATCCCTAGAGGATGAAGCAGATTAAGAAACCAACTGGGACTGTAGTGCTATACGCTACATAAACAGATTCTTGAAGCCTGACGAGGATGTCTCTCCTTCTCTCCCTTATTATACTGAATTAGGGAGGAATTAGTGTTACCTTTTTTTCCTCACCCTTCCTTTTGAAGTTTCAAAAACTTAAAGGATGCTTTCATTTATGTAGCTGTCATTTTACGGATAGTCCTCGACTTACAACCACAATTGAGTCCCAATTTTATGTTGTTAAGTTTTGCCCAATTGTAGATAGTTTTTCCCAAATCAGAGTATATTGGGCTTCTTTTTCAACTACTTTGCTTCATATGTTTATATATATACTTAATATATGTGTGTGTGTGTGTATGTATGTATGTATATACATACATACATACACACATGCAGACATATACTACTGTACAGTGCTTTACAGCCCCCTCTAAGTGGTTTACAAAATCAGCATATATTTATACACATATAGTAATTGTGTGTGATTTCTTTTTTTAAAAAAATCATAAAACATTGCACTGTGCTTGCCTTACAGATTCTCCTAATTAATTCGGTTTAAAAGTAAAATAATATATTGATGCTATTGCCTATGTTGTATTCTTCCAAATTCTCAGAGATTTTAACTTTTTACTGAAACACCAGCAGGAAAGTAATTCTTGGTCTTATTTCCTGTAACAAAACAAACTGAATAGTAGCATAGGAACTGGTTTTTTAAAATCTACAAAGTTTCATGTGCCTTACATGCACAATATTTGGCTTTGTATTGTTTAGCAAATCAATGTGGAGGCCAGCTGACAAATGCCCATGGATCCTTCTCTGGACCTTATTATCCCGGAAGCCACACCAATATGACTTGTGTCTGGAAAATTCAAGTGAGGCGCTTTGAACGCATAAATTTAAAGTTCTCTTCTATGAAGTAAGTTGAAAGATTCTTTTAACTTTTTCCTTCTATATGCTTAATAAATGTGTTTTTGGGTTTGTAAACTGCTAATATATTATCGGTGTACATCAGCAACAATTATTATTCCAGAGTGAACTAGACTGGGTTAGCAAGCATTATATACATTTGGGACGACTAAAACTTAGCAATCAATTCAACGTTTTGGAGGAGCCTGAGTGGCGTAGGAGGCTAATGCCTCCTAAGGCAGCATTTAACATCCAGCTGCCTGCAATTACTGCGAGTTCAATTCTCCCCAGGCTCAAGGTCGACTCAGCCTTCCATCCTTTCTAAGGTGGGTAAATTGAGGACCCAGTTTGTGGGGGCAATAAGCTGACTTTGTATAAAATATACAAAAGTATGAAGGCTATTGCTTAACGCATTGTAAGCCGCCCTGAGTCTCTGGAGAAGGGCGGCATATAAATCAAATTTAAAAAAAAAAACAACAAAAAAAAAACGTTTAACTGGATTCAACATAGTTCGACTGAAATAACGTCTTTACAATTTTAAATATGCCCCTTAAAAGAAACTCTAAGTACTCCTTTTGGCTTGATGTGATTATTTCTTCCTTAAATGATTTAACACAATTTGTTAAGTGAGATATACAACCCAATTTTATAACCTTATAACCTTTTTTTGCTGCAGTTGTTAAGCGAATCATTGCAGTTAAGTGAATCACTTGGTCATTAAATGAATTCAGCTTCACCCATTAACTTCGCTTGTTGGAAGCTGTCTGGGATAGTTACATATGGCAATCACGTGACCCTGGGATAGTGCAACTCTCATAAATACATGTCGGTTGCCAAGTGCCCAAATTTTTATTGTGTGATGCTGGATTTGGCAACATTTTCAAATCCAAGGACCAGTCATAAGTCCCTTTTTTCAGTGCCATCGTAACTTTGAATGGTGGCTAAATGAATGGTTGTAAGTTGAGGGCTACTTGTAGTGGTTAAGGCATCAAGCTAAAAACTGGGAGACCGTGAGTTCTAGTCCTGCCTTAAGCATAAAGCCACCTTGGGTCAGTCATTTTCTGTCAGTCCTAGGAAGGAAGCAGTGGGGAAAAAAATCAGTTCTGAAACAGTTTGCCAAGAAAACCACAGGGACCTGTCCAGGCAGTTACAGAGAATCAGTGATTGAATGGAAGAAACAAAAGTGATGGCATAGTAAAAGGTAAGGAATGAAATCTTTATCTATTTCTGTACAGCTTGGACTGTGATAAAGAATATATTGAGATTTTTGATGGACTCCGATATAGTTCATATCCACTTGGAAGAACTTGTTCCAGCGCCTATCTCAACTATACCTATTCATCAACTTCCAACATAATGACAATAGTGCTACATAGAGATTCAGGTTATTCAGGAAATGGGTTCTCTGCGCGTTACTACTCTATTCCACCAGGTAAGGATATTTATGTAATTCATTTAACCTGTATCCTGTTAATGATGTAATTTAGGGATTCAATATTATTTTAAACTAACTTCTATTTAGTTTTATACTGAGTAGGGCTATTGGTTCATATGAATATTTCAGCAGCCTATCTTCATGAACAAAATAATCTTTATCATCTTTGAACTTTCTGAAATTGAATATTTAAATAAATGAAAGAAAATAAGAACACAATGATATAACAATAATATAATTAATTGGAAGAGGCATCAGATGCAACAGAGCAGAACACAACTCCTTATCAATAATTTAATATTTAAACTAGGAGAATCAACTATGTTTTAAAATGAAGCCAGACTATTGGAATCTACCAGTTGTATCGAAAGATTCCACAATTGAGGTGGTACAATAGAACATATTTTCTCTAGTTGTGTCTTATAATGCATTTATAATGCATTTAAAGTGCTTGGAGAAATGCCTTTTTTAAAGTTCAAAAATAGATAAATGACTTTTCAAGTCATTTAGAATTTCAAAAGTAAACCTGAAAATCTTAAAAGAAGTATTCAGCACAACTCTTTCAATACTGGTATAATCCAGTTTGGTTGTACTAGTTTTCTATTTCAGTAGAAGCCACATCATATGTAATCCAATCACGTATGTTCATAGGCAAAGATCACTCAACCCTTGTTCTCCCCATGTGGTACCCATTGCTGCTACGAGATTTCAGATTTGGTTCCAAAGCACCAATCACTGCTTGCCACCAGATGACTAATGCAGGGGACAGAGGGAGGTGGGAAAGTGGGTGGGGATACAGCCCACTATCTTCCCCTGTGTCGTGCAACCTATGGGTTTCTGGGAAGTATAGTTGGAAAGTGCAGTGGTGCTGAAGTGGCCACAACTTCCCCAAATTTCATTCCCACAAGAGTCACAGTTCCTAGCATTCTGTAAATTAGCCCATTTGAATTTCTTCGGTTCAATAACTGTTGCCTTACACACTTTCCAATTTCACCCAATTTAAGGTTACAAACAAACAGACCCAAGAGTTTTAGTAATATGCAGATTGGATGGAAGTAATAATCATCATGTTTAATGAAATTGTTTTATTGTGTTCACAGAACCTACTACTACACCTACTACACCAGCTTCTACTTCTAAAGATAGAAGTAAGATATTATTCTTTTTTCTCTGATATTGTTTAGTTGATGAGCTGTAAAGAGTTAAATCGTCATTGGAGATCACAGGTAAAGTTATCTAGGAATAAATCCACAAATGTTCTACATGTATCGTGGCACGAAGGTAGGAGATTTTGAATACACTACATGATATGAATCAGGCATGTTTATTTGCTTTGTAAAAAAATTGAGAAGATGGATTTACCTACCCCTCTCAGTTTGGATCAAAGTAGCAGCAGGCATATTAGAATAAAGTTTTCTCTTGTTTTCTTGTTCTCTTGTATAATCGTTTGACAACGTTAACAGGGGTGTCAAACTGGTGGCCCATGGGCTGGATGCATCACGCACAGGCCACATCCTCCCAGCTCCGCAAATGGAAAAAACGTCACGAAATGTCACTTGACAGCAACGTGATACAGCGAGTCTGACACATGGAGTCTGCAAGTTAGTCCCTTGCAGACTAGGAAGTACTTTCCTACTCTGCAAGGGATTGTATACCTAAGATTTAAAAATATTATGTTTTCACCATTTATATGTCTAAATCATATAACGGATTAAAGTCTAATAGTACTATTAGATTGCATAGCAATCATGAATATCATTTTGAATCAATTTCAGCATTAACCTAATCAAATGGTTATATTCACAGACCAATGCTGCTATATTTGCATAATAATTTAATGAATATTTAATTCCAAATCAGTTTTTGTTTTACTTGGTTTTAAGTAAATCTTTCACCCCTCTTTAAACTGAATTTAGATTAGAGGCTTACTCCTTTTTCCTACTTTAGAGTCTATTTTTGAAATTTAAAATGAGAAATTTAGAAGTGCAGAAGTTTGAACATCTGTTTTAGCAGCCCCTGAAATCTTCATTTTTCCTTCAGAAAATATTGCATTTATTTCCTTTTCATGGTTCCTAGAAATTATAAACCATAATATAAGTCTCATATAATGAATTTGATATGTGAGAAATACATTTCACATATAGTACTTTAATATGGCATTGTCCCATGTGTTTTTGTGGCAACGATTCAAGTTGACCACAGTGTACTCTGATTCTTGATCCAGATTTTAAAAAGAAAAATATTCTCATTGTCATTGTAATGGTAGAAAAAGGTGTGCTGATTATTGTAAATTGAACTGCTAAACCACCAGTTCGATGAAGATATTCACCTTTGTTGTATTTTCAGATTCCTAGTTTGCATTACAGATGCAAGAACTGTAGCTTTTCTTTTTTAGAATCTCAGTTGAAAAATATATTTGTAAGAATCGGAAGCATTCTGGAATCATTTATACATAACTGATCGTCTAATACTGTCTTCTCCAAGCTAGTATGCCAGGACAACAGATTGAGGAAGGCTTAAGCATGACATTTATCCTTTGACACAATTATGAAAAGATAATAGGGATGAAGTTGTGGCATGACAAAGGAGTTTATATCTTAGTTTTGACTGAAACTTAATATATGGTGACAATACAATACTGAGATTAGTATTGTATTATGTAGAAATCAATACACAAAGAAGTGAATTCAGATAGGACTTATCTAACATTATTCTGATTATATAGAACATGAGCATTTATAAAATGAATTGTTTAGCTTCCAGAGAGAAGTACAATTTGACGTTCTATGTAATAAAAGTTTCACTGAAACCAATTAGTTGCGTTAAGGCTTGTGATTTTCCATTTTTTTTAGTACAAAGGTCCATGAATGTACTTCTCAGAACACAATGATCAACTTTTCTTACTGACATTAAGCACTCTGAAAATTAGTTGATGATTGGGTGGTTTGCATTACTGGCCTGTGGATATAATACCCTCTCTCTTTTTCTCCCTCTCCCTCTCCCTCCCTCCCTCTCTTTTTCTCTTCCCATGTTCCTGAAAAGATGAAGTAATTTCATAATTGATAAACCCACTTTTCTATGCATTACCCTGTTTCCCCCCCCCAAATAAAACATTCCCTGATAATAAGCCCAATCGGGCTTTTGAGCGCATGGCAATAAGGCCAAGCGCTTATTTTCAGGGTTCAAAAAAATATAAGACAGGGTCTTATTTTCGGGGAAACATGGTATTTGATTTGGATGCTTCTACTCTCAGGGAAAGTGAAAGTCTCCTTTGCTAGCTAAGTAGAAGAGATATTTCTTAATTAGTTTATTTGGTCCACAAGCAGATTCAAGAATTAAAATAATAGTAATACTTAGATGTATTGGCATTTTGCTTAACGTTTGCTTCTCTGTGTTATTATTTAGGACTTTCATGTGCTGATGGATTCATGCGTGCACGGATTAGCATACCCTATCTCAATTCAATCGGCTATAATGCATCACAAGTTTACCTGAACTCCCTAGATAGATCATGTTCATCTCACATTGCAGGCGATTATGTTTACTTTATTATACCATTCTATGGCTGTAACACACAGATAAGGGTGAGAATTAATTGTTGTTGTTAAAACTAATAATTACCTGTCTTTTCTCTCTTAACTATTATTATAAGAAAATGTACTATATGAAATGTAAGTTTAAAGTTAATTTCAGATATTGGGTTTAAGAAATTCTGCTTAACTCTGAACACATTAACTGGATCTAATATTACAATTAATTTTTTTTAAAAAGGGAATTTTGGAAAGGAGAAAAAAAATCAATGATTTTGAGACTGACTATTTTATCATCCGAGTTGAGGAAAAGCCAGGATTGTGGCTGCTGAAATGTTTTGTAATGAGTAACATGGTTTTTGTTAACATAACTTTTGTTACTATAATTCTGAAATAATAGTAGTCTTTAAAATGGTGGTAATGAGTATTTTTATGTCAATACTGTTGATTAATTATTTCTTTTTTCTGTTGATTACCTTTTCTTTTTTTCTGTGTGCTTTTTTAGGTGAAGAATGACTCGATAATTTATTACAATGTAATCAAGACACTCAACTCCGATTACATTATTACAAGAAAGAAAAACTTTCAATTTCATATTTTGTGCGAAATGAAGCAGAACACTATTGTAGAAACAATGTTTACTGCCCAAAATGCTATTGACCTTACTGAAAGGCGTATTGGCCATTACAATGTGTCTCTGGCATTCTATTCATCATTATCCTTCACCCATAAAATTCTGGGATCACCATACTACGTTTCACTCAACCAGAATTTATATCTCCAAGCTACTCTGCACACTGCTGATCCAAATATTGTACTCTTCTTAGACACATGTATCACATCTCCTGATAGTAATGATTTTAGAACCTTGACCTATGACTTAATCCGAAGTGGGTAAGTGTGTATTAAATATGTAAGAACCATAATCCAAGTTGCCACAAAGAAATTGCCATTGTGTCAGACACATAGATTCTGAATTAGATTTTCTGCTTATGTCATATTTCTTAAGACAGTATAGAAAGAACTGCAAGGTTCATCTGCAAACTGTAATGACTTATTTTCAAACAAAACAATACCAGGTTATGTTAATATTTCACTTAAATTATCAAATATTAAGTGTTAATATCAAATTATAAAAGTAAGTATTAATATCAAGTAATTCAATCACATATACAAAAACTAAGGCGAATAAAAGGATATTATGGGCTGAATGGATTGGTCACAAAATGCATACTAATAATGACCGAACTTTGTTTAGATTATGGCCAATTTCACATACTTTGTACAAAAATAGTTATTATTACAGAGCCGTTGCCTTGCTCTTACTCACAACCTATTACTTTCCCTCCCAAGTACATATCTTAAAGCACTTTTACGAGCCCCAAATTTGGGTTTATTCATTTTGATATTCCAATATTATATGCTTTCCCTATTGTTCTCTACTGCATCTCATAATCATCAGAGTCAATCTACTGCAGAAATTTAGGAATTACATACATCATTACACTGTAATAAAATATTTGAAGTAAGCATCTAGGCATACCTGACACAACAATATTTTCTTTTATTTTCAGATGCCCACGAGACTCTACTTATAGAAGCCTGTCTTCACCAACAAACAATGTAGTTCGTTTCCAGTTCAACTCCTTTAAGTTTCTTAACCAGCACAATTCAGTTTACATACAATGTAAATTAGTAGTGTGTAGAGCAGGTGATCGTTCATCTAGATGCCACCAGGGATGTTTACTGAGAAAAAAGAGAGCCGTGGATGAATCTCAGGAGAAGGTTAATGTTGTTGTGGGACCACTCAAACTTCTGAAGGATGAAAATGAAGTTCAAAAATAAGGATTTCATCCCCTCCCTCCATTTGACTATGTTTTCTGGTTAAAATGATGAAAGCTAGATAGATACCTAAAAAAAATAATCATACCCATGTTATTCCATAGAGAAAATGTTTCAAATCCATAGCTGAATACTATCTTTTATACAAGCAACTAAAAGCGAATGAAATATTAAAACAACTTTTTAAGATCTTCAGAGCTCTTCATCAGGCAATATTAGGGGATGAGGGAAAGGAAAATTAGTCTAAACAGCATTTTACATGGACAAGGTCTTTTCCTAAATGGCTATGCAATTTGCTGAGATAGTACATCATGATATAAACAGGCTGTTTAATTTTGTTAAGCACTTTATACAAAAATGCCAAAGTTCACTGAGGTTTGTGTTCCTCGTGATGATTGTTAGCCTTATGAAAATATTTGAGAGTTCATCAATAACATACTCTTATTAAAACCCTTAGTTCTATCCAAATAATTTTACTGTTTGACACTAGAAAACAGCTAACTTTTAAAACGTTCTTCATATGTTTTGTCATTCTTATTTTATTAAAGTCTGACATAGAAGATATACCAATTCCAATAGTCAACCTAAATGGCTACAGAAAAAAAAATGTACCTGTATTTCATACAGGAAGGATACATACTAGTTGTAGTTAATATCTAAATTGTATAAATATATTATGTTATAGCATCCCTTCATGTTCTGAAAAGCAAAATTACTTCTATTTCTGAAAATAATTGTAGATTATTATTCTTTCTCTCACACCAATGGCAGTTTATGAGGCAGCTTCTGCTGTCTAAGAAGTTACATAATATATTAAGACTTGGTCAGACTTTTAATAAATTGAATAATTTGTTGAAGACTAAAGGGGTCAATATAGGTCAACATGTTAAACTAATGAGAAAAAGCATAATTTTTAAAGAACCCCTTAAGATGGATGAGCTACAAAAATGAAAATTTTTAGAATTCATTGCTGTATATATGAATAGAAAAACTTTGTCACTAAATTAATTTCAAATTATTGGAAATTGTATTTTGCTTCCAATGCATTGCAATAAAACTGCTATCTTTGCAAACTAAGAGTGAGCTTATTATTTTGGTGCAAGGACAACTACTTCTATAGAAAAATCGAACCTATGAATTACTATATTTATTTTTATTTGAAGATTTCTTTCCCCACTTTTATTTCATGAAACAGTCCCAGAGAAAGATACAATATATGTTAAATTTTACAAGAAATCAGAACAATTTAAAATAAAAAATATTTTCACTATAGAAACTGTAAAAACCAAAATAACCCTTATTTTGGGAAACCTAAGAATAGCCACATCTTTAAAATAATAAAATGCTATTATATGTACAAAAAATATACCGTTCAGAAGAACTTCAGATTAAAAAGAAAAAAGAAAGATTCAAAAGCCCAATTTGACCACAAGCCTTAGAGGAAAGGATATATTTTAAAATGGAGACAAGCATCTATTATGCTAAATGCCAACTATAATACAATGGGCAAGACATTTCATAGACTTGTTATCAAGAATGGCTTTTCTCAGGTGGCAGCATGAAATTTCTAGCAAACTAATTTTATCAAAAAGATCTAAATGTCTGATCAGCTATATAGGAGAGAAGGAATGATCTTCAGGTCCTAACATATATACAGAGTTGTAAACTGTTACAGTCACACCAAACACAGCTCAGCTGCAAATTGGAAATTGGTACAGCTCCTTCAGAACAAATGCGTATTACGGTAATGCTTGGGATATGCATTTTTCTGGCCAAGCTTAAGAGTGGCTCCAACTACAGCAAATTGCTATAATCCAACATAGATTTAGATACTGTGGTTCAGGCAACCTGTGTCTAAAAATATAGTGGAAAACAAGCATTGTTTCTCATGGAATATGGTTTAATTAAAGTAATGGCTCAACATTCCCTTCAAGATTTTGTAAGTGCTTTTTGGCACAGTTTCCAAACCTTTCACCTAGAAACCCTTCAGACTATTCTGGAATTCACCAATCCTTACAAGTGTAAAGGGTCCCTTCCTACTATAAGAAAAATGATATAAGGGGAAAAAAAGATGGTTATCAATCCAACCCTTACCTGAAAATAATTTGACTAGGAGAACAGGGAGCTAACAAAACCTTCCCATTCATAATCTTTACACAATGCTTATTATGAAGTTGCTCTGTTTTATGTGCTACTGACATAGACAGAGTGATGATATAGTAAAATTGCTCATGCTTGTAATGGAAATCATGAGGTCTTCAGATGGAAGTATGAAAAAGGCCATATGTGAATGTGAATGTGAGTTTTAAAGAACCTCAGATTCTCTACATCATAGATAGGTCACATAGAGTGGCTATTAGGCAATGGGTTGGACAGTATATCAACAAGTCTTCATGCTGCTGTTGTAACCTAACTTAAGATGTGCATATTCAGTTCCCTCAATGAAGCAAAAGAGTCTCCAGATAAGACTAGTAAACCATAACCATTCTTCTCAATTCCTCCAGTCTGGGCTGATACTGCATCAAATAGGCAGAGCTAAGTCTAGCCAACTACTGTATATACAAGCTCACCCATTCAATTAAAATCTCATTAAATATGCCAAGATGTCTCTCTCACCTACTAATTAAACTTAAATGATAAATTAAACCTACCCAACAGTCAGTAACACAATGACAACCTGGTAGGCTGATTCGATGATATACACTGCGACCTTAGGGATAGCTCTGTTTTCTTTTATTTCCGCACTTCTGTCCAACGTTTGATGCTATCAGTTCCCTTGTTTAGTTTAGTTAAAATTGTATTATTCAGTTAGAAGTATGTTATTTGCCTAAGCTGATTACAACAACATACAACAAAATTTATGCACAAGCACAAGCACACACACTCAGACAAAGATGACTGTATGAAAAGGTGGGGGAAAATAAATATTCTCTCAGATTTTCAGTTATTAGTATTACTTCCCTAAATAATTTCACCACAATTTCACAGTCTTTCAGAATTTCCAGAGCTATTTGAAGTAGTCAAGCTCTTACCTTAGTTCAATCAAGCTCTTACCTTGGTTCAAATCTGTGTGTTCTCTGTGTGTTCTCTGTGGGAGCCCCGACCCTCTGGAATGGATTGCCCACCGAGCTCAGGATAGCCCCCGACCTTCTTTCCTTCCGTCGCGAGCTGAAGACGTGGCTCTTTCGTCAATTCAACTGATCCGTTTGGGGATACATTGTCATAATTTTAAACTGTTTTTAATAGGGTTGCTGATTTTAATTTTATTTCATTGTGATTTGTATTGGAATTTGTCATATTGTAAGCCGCCTTGAGTCCCTAGGGAGAAAGGCGGCATATAAATCGCAATAATAAATAAATAATAAATAAATAAATCAACATTGCAAATCAGGCTAGTCAATGGGTTGGGAGACAACCTGAAAGGAGATGCCAGGAAAGGTTGAAAAACAAAACTGATCCAAATTTCTAGTAGGTATCATATCCTAATTATGACTGTCTTCATAATTGTACATACTATATCATAGGCTTTATGATCAAAATGTATACATTTTTGCATTATTCACAATAACTATATTAGAGAAAGTGGTAAAAAGAAAAAAGATAGAAATTTCATATTATACCGATATTAACAAAGAGTCTTAATGTAGAGTGAATTAATATAACATAACATAAACTCTATATTACATTTGTTAAAACATGTTAACATTCCTATATTAATATAGTATTAAAAATAAGAGTAAATACTAGAAATGGAAAGAAGAATGAAAACATTACTTTAAGCAAAACAACTCAAGAAATTACCAGATAGTTCCATGGATCTCTTCTTTGCTCTCCCCTCAAAGAAGGCTAATTCCTATTTATTTATTTGTAGCCCTCCTTTATTATTTTTACAAATAATCCAAGACAGCAAACATACCCAACACATCTTCCTTCTCTTATTTTTTCCACAATAACAATCCTGTGAGGTAAATTGGGCTGAGAGAAAGTGACTGGCCCAAAGTCACGCAGCTAACTTTCATGGCTAACATGGGACTCGAATTCATGGTCTGCCACTTTCTAGCCAGGTGCCTTAACCACATGTGAACAGCACACACATCAACAATTCATTGCTATATATTAAGATATGTTTCTAATGTCATAATGTTCTAATGTACAATTAACCAGTGGAACAGCTTGCCTTTAGAAGTTGTGGGTACTTCATTACTACAGGTTTTTAACAAGAGACTGGACAGCCACTTATCTGAAATGGTATAGGGTCTCCTGCTTGGACTAGAAGACCTCCAAGGTCCCTTCCAGGTCTATTCTGTTTGATAAAGTTGTAAGACAGTTTTATTTCACTACCACTATTTATCATGAAATGTAATTACTTTCTTATATGCACACAAATTAAATGACATCAAATACTGGGAATAAAGCTAAGGAGAACATATGTGACTATGGAGTCCTAGCTTTGTTGTTCGCTTGCAGATGTTTGTTTGTTTGTTTGTTTGTTTATTAGATTTGTATACCGCCCTACTCCCGAAGGACTCAGGGCGGTGAACAGCCATGAAATAAAACATATAAATACAAAATTTAAAATAGAAATAAAACAAGTTAGATAAATTTGGCTGAACCATATTTAAAACCCCAATAATTTAAAACCAAATTTAAAATTCCCATTTAAAAGAGAAGTTTAGGTCAGGCCGGCTTGCTGGAATAGGAACGTCTTCAGCGTGCGACGGAAGGTACGCAGATCCGGAATCCTCCGTATCTCGGGGGGGAGCTCGTTCCAGATAGTAGGTGCCCCCACAGAGAAGGCTCTCCCCCTGGGGGCCGCCAGTCGACATTGTTTGGCCGACGGCACCCGGAGGAGCCCCTCTCTATGGGAGCGTACTGGTCGGTGGGAGGCTATTGGGGGTAGCAGGCGGTCCCGTAGATAACCAGGTCCTAAGCCATGGAGCGCTCTAAAGGTGATGACCAAAACCTTGAAGTGCACTCGGAAGACCACCGGGAGCCAGTGC